AGGAGGAGGAGGAGGAGGGGGATAGATTGACGCTCTCGGGGAAAAAACTTCCCTCCCCACTTCCCACAAATCGTACATAGAGATGAAAGAGAACATGATTTTCCAGAAAGAGATGAAAGAACCTTCAGTTCCAGTTGCAGTTCCCCATTTCATCCTAACCCCCATCCCAATAAAGGGCGAAGAAGCAGGAGATTCCTCCGGTCGGTTTCTTTTTTCCCTTACTCCGCTCCCTTGTTACTACTATCACTATTATTACTCGTATATCTATCTCTCCCATCTTCCTTTCCCCGTCACGCCACGCAGCCATGGTGTTGTAAGGGGGAACGAGAAAAGCAGATTTGTGCCTCACCCAGGTTCGCCTTTTGGTTGGTTTTGTTTCCCCCCCAGTCATGGAGATGGAAGGACGGGCCCGCCTGAGTGCAGGTGAAATCATATACAAACCGACGCGTGAGTAAGTAATAAGGAACGAGGTGATGCGGGTGGGTGTCTCGGGGATGTTCCGGGACTTGCACTTCGCGAACACACACACAAACACACACACATTGTTCTTCTTCTCGATCGATTCTTGTTTAATTGGAGAAATTGGACAGAGAGGGAAATAGCCGGTGGGAGAGATGGTGTTGTTTCTTTCTTTCCATTCGAGTTTCCTTCCTTCCTTCCGGGAGGGGAAGATTTCTGTGAGAGAGCTGCAGTGGCTCTTCTCTTCTCTCCTTCTCCTTCTTCTGTACTACTTCGGCTTTTCCCCACCGTTCCTCGTGTTTTATAGAAGTCTAAATGATATGTCAGGGGAGAAGGACTGGTTCGCATGGTTTCCTTCTTCGTGGGGATCCACGGGAGCGACGATGATATAGCGAAAAACAACAACAACAACAACAACAACAACAAAAGGGTATACATAGATGTCCACATCTCGCCGCGCTTTCAAACTCAGCAATTTCCAGTTTCCCACCCAGATCTCTCTCTCTCTCTTTCACACACACACAGCCATCTTTTTCTTTCCTCTCCTCATCATCATTCAGACCTCCTCCGCATCCCACTCCGCCGCCACGTCCGCCCAGCCGGAATTCCACCTCGCGCCTTCGCCCTCCCCGCACGTCCGGAGTTCCCGTGCCTTGCCCGCGTCGCTGCGCCAGCATCGGGCGGTGAGGTCGTCGCTCACGGTGACGAGGTCGCCGGCCACGCTCCAGACGAGCGACGTCACCTCCATGGTGTGTCCGCGCACGAGCGCGGTGCCGCGTTGGTGGATGGGGAGGGACGAGAGCTGGCTGTTGGCGGCGAGGAGCGAGGTGAAGGAGGAGGGGATGGTGGTGGTGGGAGCGGCGGGTTTGGAGGCTGAGGAGCGGAGGGACATGCGGGGTGCGGGGAGCACGGGGAGATCTTCTCCTTCGTCTTCGTCGTCGTCGCTGTCCTCGTGGCGGCGTTCTTTCCGGGCCAAGTGGCGCTCGTCGGTGGGGAAGAGGATGGGTTCGTGGTCGGCGCTGCCCACCGCGAGCATTTCGCATTGGTCGTTCCTGGCGGGCCGGAGGGCGGCGCGGACGTAGAAGGTTCCGATGCGGAGGGACGGGTGCTTGAAGCCGTAGAGTGGGGCCAGTCCGTTTATGGGCTCGTTCAGCATCCGCTGACGAGCGGGCTTGGAGGACATTTCCGGCACGCTGCCGAGGGCGAGGTGGTTGGCCGAGTAGGCGTAGATGGTCGCATCGCGGCATACGGCGTATAGTCGAGCGCCGTCGCCGGAGAGGACCATGGAGCTGATGCCGTGATTGCGCGTGCGACGGTGGAGCTCGGGGACGGGAGTGCTGGAAAGCGGGACCGGATTGCGGCGGCCGAAATTGCGGATGTCCCAGACCTTCATCGATGCGTTGGCGTCGCTGGATGTGACGATGAGATGCTCACGGCCATGTGGCATGTGCTGGAATGCGGTGATGGAGTAGTTACTCCTCGACTCTTCGGCGTTTGGTCGGCTCGTGTAGCGAAGTGCAGAGGCGATGTTCAATTGTGCGGTGCTGTATCTGGTGGCGGGCTCTCTGTGTCCATCCGCATCCACTTGGTGTTCGAAAGAAGTCCGCAGGCTCTGCACACTGGAGTTTCCAGTGCACCGGAGATCCCAAACTCGGACAGTACCATCTCTGCTGCTTGTCGTGATCAAATTCTCCTCACGAGGGTTGAATCGTACTTGTTTGAGACTGCTGTTGTGACCTGATAAAATGCAAACAACTTGCTGGGTATGCATATCGATCAGTCGAGTGGTCTGATCGCCACCAGCAGATGCTAATAGATAGTCGTCGGGACTGAAAGCCATGTCCATGACGGAGTTATTGTGCACCTGAAATTCGACATGGATTTGTCTAAAGTCCGACTCTGGAGACGTGTCCAACAGTCGGATGCTTCCCCCTTCATTGCCAATAGCAACGAGCGAATTTGTGTTGCAGCTGGCTGAGCAGACCGGTAGACTTGAACCAATAAAATCTTGAACATCATTCGGAGTGGTCATGAAATTTGCCGCTTCTGCCCGATAGTCTGCAACATGATCGACACGTCGAACACCTCGTGAGGTGGCATCGAATCCTCCAAAACTACGTTCCAGTAGTCTTCGTGAATTCCCATTCTTACGCAGACAGCGAATGGGAGTTGGGAAAGGTTCGAGTTCTCGGAATAGATCGGGAAGGCCTTCTGCATCGCTGAACGTGGGTGAAGGAAGACGAACATCGCGTCGAATCTGAGGTACTCCAGCAAATGATACACGCTTGAGCGGCGAAGATTGAGGAGGCGAACTCTCGATGTCGAAGCAAAGCTTCTGGCGTTTTGCAGATCGTGGTAAGGACTCCGCGGGGTCGCTTCCAAGGAAATCGTCAGTGACCTCTCCGGTCCGTCGACGGTTGATGCCATTTCGAGTAATGTCACGGAGCTGTCGGCCTGCTTTACTCGGTTGCGTGTTCTTTGTCGAGGACGATGTTCTCGGCGTGAAGAACTTCTTGAACCTTTTGGGAGTGACCGTGGGAGGCTTTCTCAGCTTCTGACCGCTTTCAGTTGTGCTCCGAGGTCGTAGTGGCGAGGAATCGAAATTCTCTTGATCGTAAGCGATCTGGTGGAGCTCATATTGGCTGGATTGAGACGAAAATGCTGGCATTTCATCCATTGTGTCTCTTCCCTGTACTAATATCACGTTTGACTTCAATGGTCAGATGTGAGAATACCAGGCAGTAACAATGGCGGTTTCCACAGCATTCAAGCACGAATTGGTTGGTGACGTTGAGATGGACCAAAGCGGCCTTTTAATTGAAAAACGCGAGTCGCGCTCAGCTCAAGTCGCGTCGCCCAATTCGACCTTGGGCCGCGGACCTTCGCACGGACATCCGCGACGTGCTTACATAAGTCCATGAATCTCACGGTGGAAAGGCTGGGGTGGCGGGTTATACCGAAAACGGCATGGCCCGTGAAGCTCGAGACGAAATTCTCAAGGGCTCTGAGACTTTTTTATTGTAGGGTTTGCGATAGAGGTTGCAGCCGATGGGCAAAAATTGAAAATATTCTGCAGATTGAATCTTCCGCCGCCGCAATCTTCAGACGGATTGATCAATCATGGCGCCTGTCAAGAGAAAGGCGATTGTCGAGGATCGGCCCAGCAAAAAGTCGAAGTCCACAGATAACAAGGAAACCACAGCGCAAAGGAAGCCTGCTGTTAAATCCGCGAAGCCGGAAAAGGCATCCAAACCGGCCGAAGATGTCAAACGGCCAGAACTCAAATCGGTCCTTCAACAGGAGGATCGGGCATTTCCTCGCGGTGGTGGCAGCATATTGACACCGCTGGAGCACAAGCAAATCAGAGCGGAAGCAGAACGAGATGTGCTGTTGGAACAGGAAAATGGCCAACTCGACGCCGACGAAAACCTGTTCGACGACAAGAAAGACATTGCTGCAAAGAAGAAGCGCAAGGCTTCGCAATCAGGTGGAAAAGGGAAAGAGAAGGGCGAGCCCAGTGGTCACCACATTCAAAGTCTGAGCTACAAGACTTTGGTGGTTGGCAGCGTGGTGCTTGGTCGGGTCACTGCTATCACGAACCGAGACGTCGCAATCTCACTGGCAAACAACCTCACTGGCTTCGTTCCCTTGACATCTATCTCAGAACGGCTCAACACTCGGATTGAGAAGTTAGTTGGAGACGATAAAGAAGCAGAGCTGGAAGAGGAAGAGGATGACGACACTGATGACATCGATCTCAAAAAGTTATTTCATCTCGGTCAATGGCTACGAGCAACAGTTTCTGCGTCGGGCAGCGATGCGGCGGAAGGTGGTTCAAAGAGCAAGCGACACATCGAGCTCACTCTAGACCCGTCACAAGTCAATGGTGGCCTTGACGCGGACAATGTTGTGGTCAACAGCATGGTTCAAGGTTCAGTCAGATCTGTTGAGGATCACGGCATCATTATGGATCTGGGTCTCTCAGACTCCAGCATCAAGGGTTTCATCGGCAAGAAGGAGCTTGTTGGAATTTACAACATTGGTGAAATACAAGAAGGACAGGTTATGCTCACATTGGTCACTGGCAAGGGAAGCGATGGCAAGGTGCTCAAATTGACACCCAATCCCAACTCCTTCTCGGTCGCTGGTGCTGGAAATAAGCTACAGGCTGTCAACGATGCACCGACCATTGATGGATTCCAGCCGGGCACAGCAATTGACATGCTCATCACCGAGTCAAGTTCGAAAGGTGTTGTCGGTAAGATCATGGGTGTGCTCGATGCCAGCGCAGATGTTGTTCACTCTGGCGGCTACGACAAGAAACAGGATTCCGCGACAAAGTACAAGGTTGGAACCAAGACCAAAGCGCGCATCATCTGGACACTCCCGAAAAGCGACGGATCGAGGACTGTCGGAGTCTCATTGCTCGAGCATGTGCTGACATTGACCCCGCCTGTGTCCAAACTCATTGTCAGCCCACTTGCCAAGATCAAGACACAGGCAGTGCAAATGGACCAGCAAATACCCCTGTCGACAACCTTGGAGGATGCCAAGGTTGTTCACGTGTCCCCCGAGCGTGGTGTTTTCTTATCGCTCATCCACAAATCTGGCAAGACCGAGGAAGAACTTCGTGCTTTTGCTCACATTTCCCAACTCTCGGATCAACGCGTGGAATCCATTCTTTCCGAGTCCGGACCTTTCAAGATTGATTCGAGGCACAAAGTTCGTGTACTCTCCTACAATCCCATCGACAACTTTTATTATGTGTCCATGAAACCTTCAATTCTGGAACAAACCTATCTGAGAGTCGAAGATGTTCCCGTCGGCGAGATTGTCCGCGGCACTATTGAGAAGCTGATTCTTGGCGGCACAAAGGGTGTGATTGGTGTGCTAGTCAAAATCACGGATCACATCACAGGTTTGATCCCGGAAATGCATCTGAGCGATGTACAAATGCAACACCCAGAGAGAAAATTCCGCGAAGGTCTTCCTATCAAGGCTAGAGTCCTGTCTGTCGATCTTGACAAGCGACACGTACGTCTGACAGCGAAGAAGACCTTAGTAAATGCCGACAACGCATCCGCGATCTGGAAAGACTACCAAGATCTCACACCAGGAATGGAAAGTCAAGGCACAATACTCAAGCTCACACCCAGTGGTGCTGTTGTGCAGTTCTTTGGCAAAGTGCGAGCGTTCTTACCAGTCGCTGAAATGAGCGAGTCCTTCATCAGAAGTCCCGAAACACATTTCAGGCTAGGTCAGACGGTTAATGTTCGGATTCTGACGGTGAATCCCGATGAGAGTGAAATGAGGGTATCTTGCAAAGACGACAGTACTCTTGACTCAGAGCAGCAAGCGAAGTGGGACTCAATTTCGGCAGGAAATCTTGTTAGCGGCACAGTCACCGAGACGACAGCGGACACCGTCAAGGTTGACTTGGAGAATGGTCTGCACGGAACCATTAAAATCGGGCACCTAATTGATGGCTCTGCGAACAAAGCCGAAAGTGCATTGAAGCGAACCAGGATCGGACAGAAGATGTCAGATCTTCTCGTGTTACAGAAGGCTACTCGCAGTCAGATCTTGACTTTGAGCAATAAATCAAGCTTGATTGAAGAAGCAAGATCGGGCAACCTCATCACCCAATTTTCGGACGTCAAGCCTGGAACTAAAGTCCGAGGTTTCATTCGAAACATTGTTCCAGAGGGAGTCTATGTTGAATTTGCTAATGGCGTGGTTGGCATGATGCCGAAAAGCCAAATCCCACCAGAGATGCTTACCCAGCCTTTGTTTGGTCTCCGTACCGACCAGACTTTGTTGCTGCATGTCATCTTCATCGATAACGAGCGTGAACGGTTCTCGTTGAGTTTACGAGAGCAGAAGGGAAAAACTACCGCATCAACATCACAGACCGCTGCGTCCGAGCCAGTGCAAAACCCAGCCGACGAATCTATAACCTCACTCGCCGATTTCACGTTGGGCAAAGTGACCAAAGCGCGTATCTCGTCCGTGAAGTCGACACAGCTTCAAGTCAGACTTGCAGATGGTATCCAGGGTCGTGTCGACATTAGTGAGGCATTTGATAGCTGGGATGAGATCAGCAACAAGAAAGCGCCTCTGCAAAAGTTCAAGCAGGACGAGATCATCGATGTTAAGATACTCGGAATCTTTGATGCGCGCAGCCATCGATTTTTACCAATCAGCCACAGATCAGGGATGCATCCAGTCTTCGAGCTCTCTGCTAAGCGATCTCGTATCGAGAACAACGATGAAAGCCTATTGACCTTGGATTCGGTGGCCGAGAATGCATCCTACCCAGCATTCGTGAACAATCACGGCAATGGCTTCATCTGGGTCCATCTCTCACCAAACATCAAAGCACCAGTTTCCCTCATTGATGTTTCTAATGATGCCGGAGTATTGCAGCAGCCAGTCAAACACTTCCCTGTCGGAACTGCTCTGTTGCTCAAAGTCAAGAGCGTAGACACAGAATCAGGTCACCTCGAACTGGCAGCAGACGACGATTCTGTGGGGCAGTTGACATTCTCCAGCATCTCCCCCGGCATGATCTTACCCGCCAAAGTCACAACCATCTCAGAGCGCTCTATCAATGTCAAGATTTCCGATGAGGTCATGGGACCCGTTCACATGACCGAGATCAGCGATGACTACGACAAGATCGACATTTTGCAGTACAATAAGAACGACATTGTACGGGTGTGCATCATCAGCGTCGACCCCCACAATAAACGGGTGGTCACGAGCTTGAGGCCGTCGAAAGTTCTCAGCTCTAGCCTACCGATCAAAGACGCCCACATCACGAACGCATCGCAACTCAAAGCCGGCGACATTGTTCGTGGTTTCGTCAAGAAGGTCGCCGAGAAGGGCGTGTTCGTCTCTCTCGGGGCGAATGTCGATGCCATGGTTTGGATCGCTGACTTGAGCGACCAGTATGTCAAGGATTGGAAGAGCATTGTGGAGATCAACCAGATGGTCAAGGGTCGTATCGTCTCCGTCGATTCGACCGGGAAATTCATCCAGATGAGCCTCAAGCCATCGCAGGTCGACCCCAGTTACAGACCTCCTTTGCAGATCACTGATCTGGAGGTCTCCGCCATCGTCACCGGAAAGGTACGGAAGGTCGAGGATTTCGGTGCCTTCATCGATATCGACAACACCCAGCCCAGGCTTTCCGGTCTGTGTCATCGATCTGAGATGGCGTCCAAACCGGTCGCCGATGCGCGCAAGATTTATTCCGCCGGAGATGTCGTCAAGGCAAAGATCTTGAAGGTCGATGTCTCTAGCAAGAAGATCAGCTTGGGTCTGAAGGCGAGTTACTTCGAGAAAGCTGATGATGTTGACGGAGAAGATGATATCGACGAAGACATCGCGGAGGATGACGATGATGATGACGAGGACCTTGAAGACAGCGATGGTGGGATCGCGATCGATGCGGCTGACGACGAGTCGGAGTTGGAAGATACCGAGATGGCGGATGATGGCGTACCTGTGACCACCTCAGGGCTAAAGACTTCTGGATTTGACTGGAGTGGTAATGGTCTCGACACAGAGGCTAACGGAGCAGTCTCGGAGTCCGAAGCGGAGGATACGAAGACCAAGAAACGGAAAAAGAACAAGGCCGAGATCAAAGTTGATCACACTGGTGATCTCGACAAGAATGGTCCCCAAAGTGTCAGTGACTTTGAGCGGCAATTGCTGGGCCAGCCGAACAATTCCGGCCTGTGGATACAGTACATGGCATTCCAGCTTGAGTTGAGCGAAGTGCAAAAAGCACGAGACATTGCCGAGCGAGCCCTTCGTTCTATCCACATCCGTGAGACGGAAGAAAAGGCCAATATTTGGATCGCATGGCTGAACTTGGAGGTGGCATACGGCGACGATGACAGCGTGGAAGGAGTCTTCAAGGAAGCGTGTCAATTGCAAGATTCGTTGGAGATGCACCAGAAGCTAGCTTCGATCTACATCGACTCGGGCAAGCTCGACAAAGCCGACGACATCTTCCGCCGCATCGTCGCGACCAAGAGCTTCCGCGCCAGCCCCGACATCTGGCTCAACTACGCGACATTCCTGATGGACAGCCTCCAGGCTCCCGATCGAGCCCGCGCCCTCCTGACGCAATCCCACCAGTCCATCCCGAAGACCGAGCAACGTCCCCTGACGGCCAAATTCGCCGCCCTCGAGTTCCACGCCAAGCACGGCGACCCGGAGCGCGGGCGTACCATCTTCGAGGGCCTCATCACCGAATGGCCGAAATGGAGCTCCGGCTGGGACACCTGGGTGGACCTCGAGCGGGCCCGGATCGAGCGGGCGGAAGGCAACGAGGCGAAGAAGGACGCGCGGGAGAAATCCCGGGCGCTGTTCGAGCGGATGGCGGCGCAGAAGATGAAGAAGCGTCGCGCGCTGTTCGTGTTCAAACGCTGGTTGGCGTTCGAGACCGAACACGGCTCCAGCAAACAGGCGGAGAGGGTCAAGGCCCTCGCGGCGGAATTCGTGCAGAACCTGCAGCAGGGCGGTGGTGCCGCGGAGGGGAGGGAGGAGGATGATTAGAGTCGTGGGTGTGACATTGCCCTGTCCCCTTCTTCTCGACTCTGTGATGCGAGGGATCGTGTCCTACGTCATTTCACGATGGGATGATTGTTGTATGTTTTTGCCGTGTACAAGTACATGTCATGGAAACCTCCTGTGTCCAATGCTGTTTGTCAACGTGTGGGAGATCATCGGCGGCTTATTGTTTCTTTGTTGATAGGTAGTAGCCTGGCGAAGATGCAGGCGTGTGGACTTCATTGTGTGTACAGTATCCACAGTATCCACAGTATACAGGAGGCCGATCCCAAGTTCCTGGGAATCAAAGTGTGGAGAAGATGGCGGCGGACCGACCGACCAGCCGGCCGGGTAGTTCCGATGGCTGGCGCGGGCGCGCGCAGGGGGGAAGCGAGACTGTTTCCCACCAGTTCGAATCCGGGTTTGGTCTCGTTTGAGAAATGTCTGGCGGGCGGTTCATGCGGCTCTAGCCAGCCAGCCCTTGTTCCTCTCCTCCCTCTCTACTGGGCTTTCTTTGGTCTGGGACAATTCATCCTGTATTCCTCCTATCTGCGACATAGCCTGCAGCTGTAGCGCCGTCGGGAGAAGGAGGGAATGTGTTTGATGTGCAGCCCACCTTATACCGTCATATTCCTCCGATGTGCATTCGATGGTGGACGCCGGCGATGGTGGTGGGCTCATGCACGATATGCCCATATTGCGCAAATTTATAGCACATTGGCGGCGGCGGCGGCGCATATAATAAAGGAGTACCCAGGTAGGGACAATTCCAGATATCGAAGTGATCAGTGGGCAGGGAATGGCCTGGCACAGCAAATTAGATTTACCACCAGGACAGGACAACCTGGCACAGCCAATTCCGAAGAGAATATCCCCCTTCTCTGTACAGCAAGTCCACCCACTGCAGCTGGCTCCGAATACCACCGTGTCTCTTTGATTGTGATCCTGCCCTTTCCCTGACGCGCCAAAGAATGTCCGCTATAAAGCATTTCTGTAAAACAGTAGAAATCGCAGTGAAGCTTGATGACTGACTACCAGGGTATCGTGAAGCGACCACATAACTTTTTTTTCCCGGGGGACCTGCTCTGGCTTCACCACCACCACCCAGCCATTTCTCCCTCTTGCCTACTCCCTCCTGATCGCGCGACCACCCTGAACACCACCAACACGCCGACACCACCATCATCAGTCGCCCGCACCTCGCTCTTTTCTTTACTTTCTGCTTTGTCCGCAACGGTCGATCGTGCGAGAGACCACTACGAAGGAATCGGGCGCTACCGTTTACAGACCATCGAGCATCGCGCCAGTTGCGACCAAACCCGTTCCTTCTCACCAACCTCTCCTACCACCTGCAGCACCAACATTTCCCTAATTTTGCTCAATCGCATACGGCGGCTTCATACTCGGATGATGGATGTCTGACGTGGGCTGTCCACGAGACCATCACGAAATTATACCTGATCGACAGCACTCCACTCCACGAGCGGTAATTTATGATTGAAACTGGTGATCTACACTCAGGAATGATCTCGTGATCGCGTCGACTGCGCACATATCAACCTGCTATCCTTTCCGGAAAATCTGTATGAATACCATCGCTACGGACGACATTGCCAACGCCTGATCGCATTCCCTACCACCCACCACGACACAATCGCACCGTGGAAAAATTTCCGCCATCGCAGTCCTGAGCGCATATCACCAAAATGACGCGACCGGGCCTCGTTCGGGCCGACACTGTCGACCTACAAGACACCGAGAACCCCACCGCCTCCAATCACCAGAAGCATCCACAACCGAATGGCATTGCGCCGCACCAGGCCGCCCAGGTCCAACATGCCATGGAGGAGCGGCATTCGGAGGAACAGAGTCTCGACAATGTCTGGAGAGATCAGGGCGAAGAAGATGCAGGAGCGAACGGCGAGCAGGAAAAGACGAATGGGGAGGAGGACCATGGCGAAGCAGGAGAATCGGAAGGGGAAAGCGAGGACGACATGATGGACAGGATATCGAGCTCGCCGAGCATTGACGATGGTGGGTTTTCTTTTCATTCTTCGCCTCCGATCACCGTGTGGCCGTCGTTGTCGCCGCGATCCTGGCCGGCTCGCTATTCTAGCTTGTCGGCTGGCACATCGTCCGCTTCGACGCCGACTCGCGAGACTTTCAACCAGTCCGCATGCAACTTGTCTTCGTCTTCGTCGTCGTCGCCCTTTGTCGAGTCGCCTCGAAATCTGCCGCTACATCCGTTGCGATCGGTCAGAGGTAGCGTGTCCTATGCGCGTTCACCTACGCGGTCCGAATCCTTTTCGGGAGAGCAGCGGATGGCGTGGTCGCCGGCATTGGGTGACGACGAATTTCTTTTTTCATGCGAATATCATCAGATGGGTAAGTATGAGACCGACCGAGGACGGTCCCTGGGACTTGACGACGAGGAGCCACGACGCCTCTGCAGTTCACACGACATGCACATCAATGGGAGAGAATCGTATCAGTCGAATTTCGCCGAATCTGCAGCTAGCAAATGCGAATGGCACTCAGCTTTTCAGGATGCACCGAACCAGATCGACAGTCCACCCGGCGAACCTCCAAATGCTTCGTTTACGAGCTGGATAGATGGTAAATTCGAGCACCTGTCTGTGATCGATCGACATGCCAATTCCCACAGGCCAGCGCAGATCGATACACTAAATTCGAACCCGTTCGACAATCACCTGTCAGACTCGGCCGGCGACCCTGTAGAACAATCTGATGATAAAGACACTTTCCTTGATCCCAATGACCGTTTGATCGACTCTGGATGGGGTGGCGAATGCTTACGTGACATAGAAGATATCGACTTTGAATTCGTTTACGCCCTGCATACATTCGTCGCGACTGTCGAAGGTCAAGCGAACGCCACGAAAGGCGACACCATGGTCTTGCTTGACGACAGCAATAGTTATTGGTGGCTCGTTCGGGTTGTGAAGGACAGCAGCATTGGTGAGGATCTGCTCAACCTCTACTTCGTGTTGAGTCTAGCTAATGCAGTCAAGGATACTTGCCTGCTGAACATATCGAGACTCCTACAGAGCGACTCGCCCGCCTCAACAAGCACAGAAATATCGACGTAAGCGAATGCCTATGGCTACTGCAAGTGAAACGTACTAATAATCCATCTTCAGCTTTCGGCGACGATGCTCAGTGACAACTCGGAAAAAACAAGGAATCCCCTCAAGAAGGCGATGCGCAGGCGCAACGCCAAGACGGTGCAATTCGCTGCACCCACTTACGTTGAGGCTTCTGATTATGATTATTCGAGCGATGAAGAGGGCGAGACGACTGAATCCTATATCAACGGGGCGCAGGCTGCGGCAGGTACGCAGCAGGCGACAACCGAGGAGGCCGCCGCTGTCGAGCAGAAGGAGGCACCCGCAGAAGTACGAACCAGCACATCGTCTAACAGAGCTTCGTTCGATCGCGAACAGGCTGCCATGGCTGCCAGTGCGCTTGCCGCTGCTGGTGTCACTGACGATGAGCCACAGCTGTCGCCTAAGCTGATAGACAAGACTGGTATGTTGAGAGATTACGTCCGGTGTAAGGACCGCGCTAACATCCGCAACAGAGGCTGCACCATTGAAGTCCCGAAAAGGAACTCCTCGGAACGCCGACTCCTTCCTCAAGGACGACGGCAGCGAAACACGAAAAATCACACTTACGCCCGGTCTCCTTCGCGAAGACAATGCGCCTCTCAAGTCACCCACGGAAAGCACTCGTACCGCTAGTATGGAGAGTCTGACCAAGGTGTCGACATTCGAGAGTGATGGCAAGAAGGACAATGAGAAGAAAAAGAAGGGCGGTATGCTCAGCGGCTTCTTCAAGAGCAAAAAGAAGGACAAGAAGTCCAAAGACAGCGGCAACGACCTCGATGAGAAGGTGTCCCTCGATATCGTTCGCTCGTCATCGACATCGAGCGATAAAAATTCGTTCACGGATCGTACGGCCAATGGCCAAGCCGCCCAGAACGCGGCTCAGGGACGAATGCAACAGACTGCGTCGACGCCAGCGGCACAACAGCAGGCTCAACCGGAAAGCGGCCAAGTCTTCCTGGCGGAGCTCCCAGGCTCCGAAGTCGCGCAAGAGATGGCCACAGGTCAAGAATCATCCATCCGTGCCCCGCCCAAACCTCTCACCGGTATCCTCAAGACCAGCAGCGACAAGCCGAAGAAGGCGAAGAAGGCGAAGAAGCGCATGATGTTGGACGACTTTGACACTCCGGCAGAGGAGTGCAGAAACCCCTTCGAGGACGACGAAGACGACGACGATGACGAAGAGGGGGGACGGTCAGGTTCGAGGACGTTCATGCACGGTACCGAGATTGTCCACATCCCGATGCCAGGCGAGGGCGACAAGGAGGACAGCGAGGACGATGACGACGACGACGACAGCGAGGACGACGACGAGGAAGAAGAAGGCCCCGGCGGTCTCACCAGCCCCCTCCGCGCCGCCGAACCCATCACCAACACCACCGCCGCCGCTGCCGCCGCCGCCACTACACCAACCCCCGAAACCACCCTCGAACGCAAACCCAGCAACCCCACCGACCGCGCCGCCACCACCACCCCAACAATCACCAGCCCGACCCCCGGCGGCGCCAACCCAAGCCGCACCACGACCCCGCTCCGCAACCTCATCAACCCGACCGACAGCCCGATCCCGGCGCACCTCTCCCCGCCACCCCTCACCACCGCGCCCAGCCCCACCGCGTCCACACCCTCCTCCCAACAGCAGCCGTGGAACGACCACTCGCTCCGCGCCTGGCTCGAAGACGGCCGCGAGGTCCGCGACATGCTCGTCATGATCCACGACAAGTCCGGTGTGACCCCCGTGGCCGACAACCACCCGCTCATGGCGGGCCTGTACGTCGAACAGCGGAAGGGCGTGCAGGACATGATGGGCCAGCTGGACGGGCTCTTGGGCGCTTATTTGAACCGGAAAGGGGTCCGGTATTGAGAAGGTGCCCTCCTTCCTCGCCTAGCAGGTAGAAGGGGGAGGAGGATTCGTTTTGACGATGATGGTGATGATGGGGGAGTATGAGAGTCGAGGGACCCTTGTGTGTGTGGTATCGGTCGTTTTATTTACGCTCTTTTTTCCCTTCTCTCTCTTTTCTTTTTGGTCTTGTATGATATTTATGGATCCTCATCATCATCATCATCACTGGATTCACTTTGCACTACCATGTCATGTTTTCGTAGCGAGTTAGATTCGTGTGCGACCTTAGAAGATCACGATACTACGGAAGTCAGGCATAGCTCCGCTATGTATTTGTAAAGCTCCATCGTCGTGGTTTTCAATTCAGTTATCTCGCTATCGAGAGGGGTACAAGTGAATGGTCTATGTCACGACCGTTCTGATCTCGCTGAGCGAATCTCCCCTCGGCAGTTCCAATGGCGATTCGAAAACCATCAACGCGCAAGTTCAACGTCAGATCACCACTTGACTGCCCGACCTTCAGGCTGACTGCTTCCTCCGGTCGACCACGGCTGTCCAGGAACAAAGTCTTTGGCTGGAGGACGAGCTGGTGGAGTTGACCGAACCGCCGACAACGGCGTCGTGACCATGCCAGGTGCTGCTCTGGGAGGTGAACCGTCGAGGAGTGACTCTTCCTTGACGGGCGGGGGTCCCTGCTGTTTTCTCGTACTGCCCGAAGCAGCTTCCAGAGCCTCCAGTCGCTGTTCAACGTCCGTCAGACGGAGGTCCAATGCATGTCGATCGGCCCAGAGATCGTGATTGTCAGCAACAATCTTTCCGATATCGATATCGAGCCTGGCTACATGGTCCTCGCTTTGTTTCGGACGCGTGGTGTGGTCCGGAGCAGGCGAGGCATCCGGAGCGGTCTCGGCGGCGATGGTCGCGGGAGATTGATCTAGCTTGCCGGAGATTCTGGTCTCACAGGATACCATGCGGACGAGCAGCTCTTGTAGCTTGACGCGCTGTGTCCCGAGCTCGGCCTGCGCGCGCCGGACATGCGCGATTGCTGTCGCGTTGGATGCGGTTCTGTCCTCGAGGTCGCGAAGTCGCTTTTCCATAGCTTCGTCGGGAGACGTGCTCTGACTCGTTTTGGTAGGTAGCTCGAATATGCTGTGGCGGAACTGGTCTTTCGATGAGAATCTGATCGACCATTCACATGTTTTGTTCCGATCTTACAAGTCGCTCCCGCTCGGTGTCTCGATTTCTTTCATACAAGAAGATGTCTCGGAAAATCGAAGCAGGAGGTAAATGACTCGCGCACTGGGTGCCGATAATCCTCAATTGATCGAATGTGTAGGTCTTGACGAGGCCGATTCTACTGTCTCGCCTTCGAAGTTGATGTGGTTCGGGCGATGAAGACGTTGCTGGTACCGTGTCAGCGTGTTCTGGGCCTGGATCTGAAAGGAGGCAGCGAACAGGTCGATGTGCTGAGAGAACTGTTGTCCCCATTGGACATGACTTGCTCGTCGGCAAGCGAATCTTTGGAAAGCGAATATCTTTTGGGGACTAGAGAATACAATGCTGCTCCCAAGGTAGTGAGAAGACGATGCATGAAAGTACAGGCGTGTGACTTGGAGAGCGAGAAGGACAATGAGTTCGATTGCGAAAGGTGTCAGAATGTTGCAGACACCGGCATGTGATGTTCGTGATGTTCATGTTGGCAAGGTGGGTGACAGCACTCACCATGTCTCGCATTTGACCGTACTTGCGCTACCTCTACAGTAACAGGTGCAGTTGCGTGTCGGAAGTGTCATCGGGGGACTTGGAATGGCCGACCTGTCACTTCCTTCCTGTGGAGAAGCCGCTTGTGTCATGGTCTGCTCCAGACTCTGATGAAACATTTGCCCAGGCGAACCTTGGAATTCACCGTCCACCTCCATCATCACATCCAAATAATTTCATTCGCCGAGGCAAAGCAAGGCTCGCTCTCCAAACGCATTGACTACGCTTTTCTCCTGAGTGAGCATTGAGCTCAGCCAGCGACGGGCATGCTCTAGCATTGGTGCGCCAAATTTTATCACGATGCAGTCTCGTCCTGACGCAGCAGACCAGAAGATGCGATGGATCTTCTCCGTCCGATGCCGCTCGTTGCGCCAAATCGTATGCGGATCGAGCATCTCCTCGCTGCCATCGTCACTGCCGCTGTCCCATTTCCGGGCCCCGATTCGTGGAGTGCTTTTGAACTCGTCCATGAAGAACTTCCCAAGCCCTTCAAACATGTTCCCATACAGGAAGAGCGTTCCGTAAACCGCAAGTCCCTCCATGCGCTCCGCAAGGCCTTGCGATGCGTCCCTCTCGTCCAGAATCATACTGTCTCGCAGGACAAGTCTACGTCGCCCATCATCCTGACAAAGATATATCTCATTGCGACTAGTGTAGTGATGGAATGACCAGTTCTCGCCATTTGCAGGGCGGCCATTGGACACCCAATCTAGGATGCAGAGGCTGCCATTGTGCATTCCCGGCGACTTGGCCGCGTGGACGAGATAGGTTTGCTGCTGCAGGAATGAACTCTTCTCGAATGGTTGGACTGGGTCTGGCAAGTAACAAATAGCAGCGTTGGGAAATAGATCCACAGTCAATGACTGTTTGCTCAGGAGTTCTCGGCTCGGCGCTTTGAAGATCTTCGTGCTGCCTTGCGTGAGCAGTATCAACCTCGTGGAGGCCTCGACGGTGATTTTGAGATCGACACTATCACCAGCGACCACGCCGCCTCCGTACGCTAGCAGGTAGACTGTGTGGATAAGATGTGCAGGCTCATCGTGTTCGTCATGCGTCCACAGTGGCGCAGGCGAAACCAACTTGAGAGGATATTGATATTTCAATTCCTTGAGCCTTGGAGTGTCAGGAGGCAGCAAGGCGAGATGGACGATACCACCGCCAGGAGTGGATTTTGGTGAGGAGAAGGCAGTGGACATGATTGTCCTTCTTCGAAAGCATTATTGACGACGATGGACCATCGTGCCTGATGATCAGAGTTCAAATCAGAGATCAATCAATCATAGAGCATACTCCATATTCACGGCGATAACAAATAAATATTACATACATTGTTGTTATCGCAGGGAGATGGCTGTCTAGCGCACCCATTGAGAATTGACTCCACAAATGTTACTACAGTGTAGGCTGGAGATCACCCAGGTGTTGCCAGCCTCAGGCATTTCCACCCGCGAAACAAGGGCTGTTAGGTGCTTGTCACGCATCCGACGCGTTCTCTGAGGGGCGCGTCATGCCCTAACAATAAATCACAGCGCAGGCAGCGTACCAATACTGTGTGCCCATACCACACCAATTCGATACATCATCGGCCGTGCTTCGCTGTTGTCGCGACGCCCACCACGAATTCGCGTGCACGCCGCGGTCGCATTCATACAACCTTCATGCCAGGTCGTCTACTGGAAACCATGGCTTCGTCGTCGCCAGCTCCCAGCGCCTCTGGGCCGAATGTCCGCACATCTGGACGCGTCCGCAAGCAAACTACACATTTCACTACTAGCGACTTTTCCACTGGCAAGCGAAAACGCGACCACCCAGATAACGAGAACGATGATCCCGCAAGGGCCGATGAAATTAATGACGACGATGAAAGCGACGAAGATGATGAGGACGACGAGGCGGACGAGGAAGAGCTGCGCGAGCAAAAGAAGCGGTCGCGCAAATCCAAAGGCGCTGCGCCCAAACGACCCGCCCAGAAGAAGCCCAAGACACATAACATCTCGCTGCCCTTCAGAGCTGCCCAACCAGCGGCGCGCAAACGAGCGACCAAGAAAGTCAAAGCGGTTGACTCGGCAGACGCGCAGGCCGCGGGCGGCTTGTATGCGGACATCTTCGCAGGCGACAAACCGTCCGAGGAAATCGTGGCGGCATGGATGAAGGCGTTCGATCGACACGAGTCGCGCGCGCTCGCGGATGTGATCAATTTCGTCTTGAAAAGCGCGGGTTGTGATATCAAGATCACTGAGCACGACATTGAAGATGTGGACGGTGCCACAAGCAGGCTCACCGATATCCAGGATGAATACATGGCATCGGAACCTACAGACTATCCTTTGATCGCCAAGGGTAGAGGTGCGGTGTCTTTCAAACAGAGTGTGGCCGACTTTGTTGTGACTTTTGTCAAATCGGTCGCGGCTAATGGCTTGCTCTTCTCCAATCCCGAGTTGATTGAGAATATCGAAGTTTGGTTCTCCACCATGACATCAGCTGCAAGCCGCTCCATCAGACATACCTCCACTCTGGCATCGCTGAACGTCATCACAGCGCTCTGTGATGTTGCCAAAGAGCTCAAGGATAAATCTAGCAATGCCACGCGTCAAGCCGCGTCAGAGCGCAAGAAGAGCCGGGTGAACAAGGACCGCGCGAAACAATTGGATGCCAGCGCGAAAAGCGCCAGCGAACAGTACGAGTTTGTGGAGGGGCTGATCAAAGATTGGTTCGACGTGATCTTCATCCACCGGTACCGTGACGTGGACGCTGCGATTCGTCGCGATTGTGTGGAGGCGATAGGAGACTGGTTCATGATTATGCCCGATATTTTCTTCGACGGGCACCATCTACGATACCTCGGATGGGTCCTCAGCGATCAGTCTCCAGCGACGCGTGGTGAGGACGTTAGGCAATTGCGCAGATTATACAGTGACGATACGAAGCTCGCGGGTCTCAAGACATTCACAGAGCGCTTTCGATCACGCCTGGTCGAGATCGGAACAGCCGACTCGGACGTCAATGTCCGAATTGCTGGCATTGACTTGCTAGACGTCCTACGCGAGAACGAGCTCCTCCAACCAGACGATATCGACGCTGTGGGTCGCATGATCTTCCACGATGACCTGCGAATTCGAAAGGCAGTAGCTGGGTTCTTCGCCGAGAACGTCAACGATCTATACACATCCAAGCTGGAGAGCCTGGGCGGGCTCGACAATCTTGAAGATTCTTTGCCAGAAACCACAGAAGGCAACTATTCAGCGCCACGGTTGGAATGGCTGCGATACAAAGCTCTCGCGGAGATGTTACAATCATATGACACAGACGACAGTCTTCCTGATCACGTTGAGCGCAGCAAGATTGATGGCGCACTTTACCTGAACGTGACTGGGGTTGAGTCGCGATTCTCATTACCAGTGGCAGTCCTATATCCGAAGATCGCCGAACTTGAAGACTGGCTTGCACTGGCAGGTTATCTCCTTTTTGATCACTCGACGAGGAAAAGCCATCGAGCAACTGACGACGCCCTCACTCAATTGAAGAGCGAATGCATCACGACGGAGACGGAGGAAATCATCCTTCTCGAAGTCCTGAACGCAGCCGTCCGCTTGAGCCTAGAGGATCTTGCGGACAAATCATCGACCTCGAAAGGAAAGCTGACCAAACAGCAGCGTGAGAATTTACAAGATGAGCAAGAAGAGAGCGTAAGGCATTTGATAGAATTAATACCACAATTACTCAAGAAATTCGGAGGAACTCCGGGGACCGCAGCGGCGGTGCTTCGATTGGAGAGCGTCCTCGCATCGACATCACTTCAAAATCTCCGACAAAATTCCTCGACGTATGGCGGACTCCTCGACGATCTGAGCAAGCAGTTCATGTCACATGGAACAGATGAAGTGCTGGCTCCGGCCACCGCAGCAATCTTTCACGCGAGATCATATGGCGAATTGGATGATGTCACAGCAGATAAGCTTGCTGGCCTATGGGAAGATGTAATCAACAATCTGTCAGAATTGCTGAATCCTGCTACAATCGCCGTACGCGGAGCTTCTAAAACAGAAGAACTCCTGGCCCTGGCAAACAACTTACGTCGCACTTTCCGCCTCAGCATGATCAGTGATTGCACGCAGCCGTTAGAGGATACTGGCGTGGCTGCTACGAACACTGCCGCTGGCAAGGAATACCACGGCGCCATCGACTTCCTGATCGATCTGATCCTGCGAGCGGTACCATCAAGTGGGCCCAACCTAGATGCCGAAGAAGCAGCACTCGAGGATCAGGTCGCCGCTCGTGCGGCAGAGGCGGCATTACATTACTTCCAGTGGAGCGTGAAAGCGCTGATAGCGACCATCACCACTGGCACTGACACTGAGATTCCTTACAAAGTCCTCGAAGCTCTGGCTGAGCGGCGCGATGCATACGTGACAAACCTGGCACAAGTCCTAGAAAAGCGAAAACCGTCCGAAGAGGTCTGTGTGGCTGTGGCAGGTTGTCTGTTGGATCTCTACACCGTCTCAAACGTGTTGGGCACCGTCACAGCCAAGCCCGGCATGAGCGATGACTACACCGTTTTGATCATGGATTTCGAATACGCGGACAGCACGATGAAGGTGTTCCTCGCGCTGGAGAAGACCGTCGCCAGACTCTCCAACAAACAACTCGACGCACCCGTCTCCGAGGACATCGAGGACGCCGACGCCGAGCCCATCGACGACGACCCCATGTCTGACATCGAATCCGACGCCGACGACGAGGACGCCGACGGCCCCGCCGCCCAACAGACCCGCGAAGCCAAACTCCTCAAACCCCTCCTCGCCCAAATGCACCTCTGCAAATACACCAGCAAACTCGTCCTCGCCATCAGCGCCGGCGTCATCCGCGACAAGGCCCTCCGCAAACGCCTCGAGCTCAACAAGACGAAACTCGGGCCCAACTTCAAGGAAGTCCTCGCCTTCCTCGACGTACCCAATATGCAGCAACGTCTCCTCAAGAGCGGCGGCGGCGGCGCAAAGGGAAAAGCTAAACCTTCTGCGACCCTAGCCAAGAAATCCCGCCCCGCGCCCAAGAGCAATGCCATCGTCGGCGAGGACGACGAGGACGATGAGATTGAGGACGACGGGCCCGAGGAGGAAGCGAGGCAGCGCGCGCTTCAGGAAGAGGAAGAGGAGGCCATGGGCGATGCGGACGATGTCGAGGAAGACGGCGATGCTGCGGCGGCGGCCGCCGAGGATGAAGACGAAGAGAGTGTCATTGGCGATTGATCCCGAAATTTCTCGAAGAGAACTGTTGCTCACGCGCGCGAGAGAGGGAGGGATATTTAATGTCGGCAATTTTTCTTGGACGGTATGACCTGCCCCCGCCCTGTTTTATTTTAATGGAGAAAGTAAGAGTGGGGACAGCAAGCCCCAAAATCATCATAATCCTGCAATCGCTATTCGCCCATTCCGTCCTTCCCTGCATTTCCCCATCTGTCCTCTCGACCAATGCCTCATTGTGAAGGCTGCTAGCCGTGACGAGTCGAGAGGTCTGGCGAGAAACACCAAAGAGCCATACATGAGGACGATACGCCTGTGTTCTCACCCTCTATCTCTCTCTCTAAAGGGAGGTATGTCATTCCATATAGTCAGAGTCGTCCACGATGGCGTGTTGTAGTGATGGGAATATACCGAAACCCCAGCATAGGCTCGAACTGGCTGTCCCATTCTCTCCGTCGAAAATCCCCCCTCTCCCTCTCCCTCTGATGCAGAGAACCATTTCAACGACCCTCCGTCCCCTCCATCCCTTCTTTCTTTCGCGATCGATCTTGCAAAATGCTTCGTTTTCTCGAGTCCGGCACATATGATTGAGATTTCGGGGATGCGGGATGAGGGAGAAGAAGAAGAAGAAGAGGAAGAAGACGAAGTGGGCATTTTGGGAAAAGACTCGTTTGAATGTTCATGTATTAAATATTATCACCTCTCTGTCTCGCTCGTCGTCGAATCTGTCGTCCTTCCTCCTGTTCCGCTTCCCTTCTCCTCTCTCCCTCTCGATATCTCTCATTTCCCACCTCTCTCCTCCAATCCTCCAGAAGAGAGGAGGAGAAAGCCCAACCTGCCCCAAAAATAATAGAACCCCTCCAACGACAAACATATGCTCTCCCCGAAAAGGGGCGTGAGCAAAGCGGTCCAGAAGAAGAAGAAGAGAGTCTCACTCGCTCCCTCCGACCTGCCGTTCTGAGCGTACTTGCGCGCTCAAAAACTAAAACCAAAATTAATCACGCAAAACATAAGCATGGGCATGGGCACATTCATCATTAAAACCCCGCCCCGCCCCGCCAGGCCAGGCCGGGCCCGGAGCAGCCAAGACAAGATCGTCCAAGACCTCGACGAACCGAAATAAAGTAAAAAGAGAACCAGCAGAGCGATGGGGAACAAGGGAACGAGGTCATCCCTCGCGTTGCCTCGTGGAGAGGACATTCCCCCGCCCTCACGAAAACGCCCTCCTCCCCCTCTCCGCCCGCCGGCGCCAGGTCGCGCGCGCGGCGCCGGGCAGGTCGTCGACGTTGAGGACCTCGGCGCCCTCGCGCAGGAGCACCTGCCAGACGTGGTCGCGCAGGCCGCGCGGCCAGCTCGGCGTGTCCCAGTAGCGCGCCTTCAGGCCGCGGCGGCGGGCCCCGCGGATCTGTCCCCGGAGGAGGTCGAGCTGGGCGGCCGTGAGCCGGCCGCGCCAGATGAAGCCGATGGTCCGGGAGAAGCTCGTGCTGGCGTAGTAGCTGTTCGTCGGGTCGTAGGCGGAGGCCGGGGGGAGGGCGGCGAGGGCGGTGGGGTTGGTGGGGGTGCTGCGGCGGAGGAGGGGTGGCTCGGAGGATGGGGAGGAGGTGGTTTCGGGTTCCCAGAGGCGGTCGAGGGGCGCGTCGAAGAAGATGTCGCGGTGGGTGGTGGAGGCGGTAATCAAATCGAAGGGGGCGTTGCCAGTGCCGACGATGGTGACGGCGCGGGGGTGGAAGGTTTCGCCGTCCCAGTAGCTGAGGTAGTTCTTCTCGCGGAGGGGTCGGAGTTGGTCGGAGACGGAGCGGAAGGTCTCGTGACCGGGGGTTTTGAAGTCGACGAGGAGGACGAGCGTCTGCTGCGGGTCCTCATCAAAGACGCCATGGCCAGTGGTGTTGGAGAATTCCGTCGAGGGGTTCATCTTGTCGAGGAACTCGGTCAGAGGATTGACGTATAGACTTTGGAAAGTGCGGTTCCGCGTGAGGGACGCAACATTGTGGCTGCGAGAGGGACGCGTCAGTGTTTCTTATAATCTACTTCCTCGAGCCTTTTGCGAGAAGGGTAGAGCGATACATACCCGACGAACAATTCGTCGTCGAAGAGCCAGACATCCGCCTCGACGCCGGTGCAACCCCAATGGATCGCGTCGAAGAGCGGTACCCTCCGCCAGTAATCATTGTGCGAATGACAAGGGATGGGGATCACATCCCGTGTCGCATCTGTAGGATACTCCTTCAGGCCCTCGCCGAAATGTCCAGCCGCGCCCCAGTTGGGTAGGAATTTGTCGTCGTAGTCGTCTGCGTCCCGACCAAAGTATTCGCTGCCGAACACGGCCTGTACGAGGTGGACCACTCCACTGCGCGTCCATCAGTATGTGTGTTCCTTTGTCTCCGCCCGAGCAGCTGCGGACAGGCTCTCGCGACTTCCGTCGGACAAGCGGTCCAAGGTATGATGATACTCACAATATCAACAACAGTCCCACAGGTACCACCACCAACAATCTCTTCAAGATGGTCCAGAATTTCGTCCGCCGCCGCGGTCGCACGTCTCTTTTCTTCCGACTCAGAAGCCCATCCGGGAGGTCATCGCGCGGCGCTGTGAAGTAATCGTAGTCGAGGGGTTTGGCGGCGGTCTGATGGACGTCCATGCCCAGCGCATAGAGGATGCGACCGATCATCGTCCGCCGCGTGCGCTCTTCGAGATAATCGGATGCGACGGGGAAATTGGGGAGATCGAACTGCGGGAATTCCTCATCCTCGGTGTTGGAGGAGTAGTCGCCGCGGTAGGAGTTGGAGAATCCCGAGGTGGAGCTCTCGCTGACTTGCTCGAGCAGGAAGCTCTCGCGCGGAGGGATACTGAGGCCGAGTGGAGCTGCCATTCGCGTGTGATTTTGCGAGGAAGGTGGGAGTGGTGGTAGGTTGAGAGCAGCGTTTGTTGGTGGTTGGACCCGCAGGAGCTCCCTCTCTCGCCGTACGTCCCTGTCGCTCGCGACTACCAGGTGGGCGCCCAGTCGCAGCTATTGCGCAGTATGAGCGCAAATCTCTGGCTTGAGCAAACAAGGCCGGTGTTAATCCGTATTGCGAAGAAGATGTGAAGGCGACGTTGGGACATGCACGACCGCCAACTGGTTGTTTGGTTCCTGACGGGGTAAATAGTGTTGTCGGGCGGATTCGGGGGGTGCCTAATTGTCCTCAGGGTCGTGTCCTCCGCGGAGAAGAGTCCGATGTTGGGAGAGATGAAGACGGGAATGAATTAAATTATGATTAGGGGACGAGATTATTATGATTGTTGCTTGCTGAGGATCTTCCAACGACCAAGGCGGTGATGATCCAGAAAGGTAAGTAAGTAATATTGAAGAGAGAATAATAGTAATAATAAGAGCGAGTATGGTGATTGTCACCACCCACCAGTACGTACAACACACTACTGTGGGCACATCAGCTGTTGGACTATCGCGCATAGAGAGAAAGCGGCGGGTGAGAAGGTCTGAGCACCAGAAGAGGTGCGCCAAGGGGGAAAACGGCGACAATCATCATTATTGTTATCATACAGTGATCGCAGACGGCACAGCTACAGCTACACATATGTACACATCTTATGTCTGTCTCTCCATCAAACTTCGTACGAAAGGCAATGCGACACGGAAAACATGGATCCATCCGACCTGTCTCCCCGGCCGGCCTTCCTACATGAAAACCAGACCGACCATGCCAATCCACGGCATAACAACGACGAGGGCGAGACATGTAGATCGAGGGCCCGAGCTATCTACGCTACCATAGATTGGACGGCAGAGTGGAGACTCCAGTACGACAACAATCAATCGATCATCCATGGCGTACAGATCGCAAGCAGCGTCGTGACTAGACGACTAGATCATGTTCACCGATAATGATGATGATGATGATGATGATGATGATGAAAAGACCCTACGAGATCACTCGGCTGATATGCACACAGCACAGGACAGCACAGGACAGGACAGGACAGGACAGTAGTGCATATTCGACAGCCACCCAGTCCAGTGCCAGTGCCAGTGTGCATGAGAAGACGCCATCCATGCAGTAGTCGCAGGTCTGGAGTTCTCGACGTTGAAGCTAGGTCGACATCAGCAGACCGTCAGAGGAAACCTCGATGCCTACCGTATCGCTATCATCATCGCGCCGTCGAAGCGGATGTGGATTCCGTCTGATCTTTCCCGTCGATCGTGTAGAAAGACGGCATACAGGAACATATTTACATAAATACATATATATGTGATACATCCGTAAATAATTCACACGTTGCTCCTTGGAAGCCATTCCCCGCCGTAATGTTCAGACGAGCAACATCGCACATATAAACAGTACCTTACTCATATGCATGTGTAGTCCACTATCGACCGATCGCCTCGTCCACTTCATGTAATAACCCTCATGACCATCTCCCCAGCCACCGCCAAGCTGGAGAAAAGGTCTCCCATCCAACCAAGGGCAGTCACCATCGAATCCCATCAGATCCCATCATCAAATTCCTCCCCACGTCGTCGTCGATCAGCGCGAGGTCGGATGGTGGGTGGGCGGGCGACGCCATGACATTCGCATGATATCTAGGTATGATGGAAAACCTGAGAAAAATACAAACCCGAGCCGGCGCCGGCGCCCGCTTTTTCAAAAAAAAAAAAAGAGCAAAACGGCGGAGCGGAATATCAACCATGTCTAGTAGGGACGCTTCGATTCTGGACATGGGAGACATGCTTAGGTCCATCTCTGGTTTTTTTGTATCCTCGTCACTTTGAGAGGACCAGGGAAAGGCAGAGGGAGAAGGGAAGAAAGAAAGAAAGCGATTGATGGAGGTAAATCTCTTCTCCGACTGGCAGTACTGATATAGAGGCAAAAAGGAAGGCATCTCGCTCTACTGCAAGTCTGATTTCCTCACTTGACTCATCTCCACCGGGACACCGTTTTTGATTAGGTCGAGAATCCCAGTGAACGCTTCTTTGGTCCTCATCTTTTGCTTCCCTCGGAGGAATTCTCCCGCGGCGAGTGAGAAGGGAATGAAGAAAGGAAGAGGCATTTCTAAACCACACCTTCTCCTCCTCCTTCCCTATGGCCTTCTTCCCTCCTTTTTCCCGCTGCATCATATCTCTCGGCCCCGACTCCTCGTCACTTGTAACCATTTCCGCCACAGAGAGGAGGTTTCATTTCCGCTGTGCGATTTATGCATCATAATCATAACAGTCATCATCTTTCTCTTCGTCTCGTCTCGTCTCAGTCCTTCCTCTTCTTTTTTTCCCTCCCCTCGCGCTCTCTCTCTGTGTTATCTTCTGAACGGTGTCGGACGGTCCCATCTAATTCGTATCCATCGCCTCCGCGCTCTTCCCGCGCTTCTCCTTGACCCACGCGACGAATTCGTCGATGACGCTCGGCCAGCTGCTCTCCTCGCTCCAAAAGCTCATGGAGTCGTCCTTGACCGTCTCGAGGGCGAAGACCAGCGTTTGTTTCCAGAGATCCTTATTCACGGCCTTTTTGATCTTCGCCTCGTAGAATTCCAGCCACCACTCTCGCCACGGCGTCGAGTCCGTCCGCCAGTCGAACGCCGGGGTGGAGAAGAGGAGCTTCCAGAACTCCAACGCCATCTCCATCGCCAGGCTCTTCTGCCGCTCCTGTAAGCCGAGGGCGAAGGTGTGGTTGTAGACGGCGCGGAACGCATCGCCGCCGGAGGGGAGTTGCGATCGACGCTGTTCTACTATGGCGCTGATTTTGGGGAGAGAATCGGCGTTGGCAGCGGCCAGGCCATCGACGCAGCCTTGTCGAGTGATGACGCCGAGGGAAGGCGATTGAACGAGTTCGAAGAGTACGAGGGCGCCGACGTCGGTGATATCGATCTTGAGGTCGCCGAGGAGAGTACCGGTACCCTCGAGGTTGATTTCATCTGGCGCCTCCTTGGGATTGTCACGATATTTGTCAAAGATCTTGGTCACGGCGGCGCGATTTGAGCTGGTGTTGCTCGCAACGGGCTGGTTGAAGAAGCTGATGAGACGATTCATGTCAGTTCACAGGAGCGATTGTAACAATTGCAAGACGATTTCAATGCAAAGACCGGGGGCGAGATTTCGTAATGACCAGAGCTGGTGTCAACGCGGCTGAACGGAATCGGGATAGTCTGCGGGAAACAAGCATAGATAACTAGGACAAACGCGAGACTTACGCATTGATCGCGGCACTCAAGTTCCAATTATGCTGTTTCAATACCTTGCCGGCAGTGGTCTTGTCCGCCGCCGTGACACCTATGAATTCAGCCACCAAGCCTTTCTGCTGCGTGGAAGACGGGGCTGGAGCCATCGAAACTTTGGTGTCAGCCTTCCGAATTGCAACCGCAGAGTGGTGCACGCGGTGGGATGAACTGCGCAAAACGTCTGTTTCTATCCAAGGGACGGAATTACAGAAAGTGAAACGATGATGGAAAATCGACCTGCGCGCGCCCGCTCCTCGGAAAAACAATACGCAGTGGAAACGAGTAAAAGATGGTGATGATGTGGAAAGATGTATGTGTGTATGTGAAATGACTAGGGCACGATAACGAATGGATGCGGGCGCGAGTGACGACGTTGATGGACAATTCGGTAGGACGATACACGCGCGGGGTTCGAAATTCCGCCATGAGGAACGCTTAGATAATAATCCAAGGGAAGACGAGGCTCTGCAAGGGAAGAGAACCCAATTCGGGCGGTCCATCTCTGATAACAGTAACATTCCAGGCAGCTGTTCTTCATCTTTCGGGATTGCAACTCACCTTTTGCAGGGACGACAGCCAACTCTTTCACCATTGCCTTTTTATTCTTCTTTGCAGCCGGCGCTGTGGTGTCCGTGTTTGCATGCGTGGTTGTGTCTTGTGTCTTTCGCTTTGCCGGCATCTTCTTTCGGTTGTTGATCGTTGTCGAGTTACAACGTCGGACTCTGTCTGTGTGTAGGTATAAGACGCTGTTCGGTAGCAGACAATTCCAATTCGAAAGGTTTGTGAACAGCCGTGTTGATCGAATGAAGACACGTCTTTCGGGAATGATACACACAATCGTCAATACTGCCGTGCTCGGTACTTGGTGATCCGAACCACCGCAATGGACTCTGCAGGCGATTCTTCGTGACGTGACGTGAGGTCAGTCGGAATGGTGGAGTTGCTGTCTGGGCGCCCGGACTGAATCGTGACAGGAGCGAAGGTGGCAGAAGCAAGTTGGAAAGCGAGTGAGTGATGCGGTGGAGTTGACAGAACGGACATGCAGAAGTGAGGCAAGGGTGATGGTGTCGTCGTTTGTGTCGTTTGTTCGTGACTGAAGAACGGCGGAGACTTGGTCGTCTGGGAGTCCGTTTGCAAACACAACGCGACTTTGAAGAATATATATATATACACTATGCCTCAGGTATGTGTCGAGCACCTTCCCAAACATATCACGGGCATACTCTCTCCTGAACAGAATCACCTAGTGTCCACAGCCCGGGAGATGATATTGATGTGTCGAAGCACCTGAGCGTCTGTAGGTAGGTGTGCAAGTCATGCACCCTAGACAGCCGTAAGCCCCATGAAATGCAAAGCTGCCTACATTCTGAGATCGACGCCGACGTCCTAGGGTCGACAACATGCCGCATGCACTTGTCTCTGACATCTGACATGTGACATTGTTGACACCGGTGCGAACGGGACGGAGATACCAGCGAGTTGCGACCGACACATGCCATCTCACTGCTTCACCAACTCACGATTGTCACGCGTGTTCTTCTCCCTCTGCCAGCCGGTATCATACTGTATATAATAAGTAACAATCTATAACCATTTCTCGCCTGTCCATGCCTCCTACCACCGTCGCCACCCCTCTCGCCATCCTCGCCTCCTTTGATGGCAAGTCTAGTCGCCTTGCGGCATGCTCTCCACCGCGTCCGCCAACGCGCGGAAATTCTCCACCTGCAACTCCGCCGCCTTGACTCGCTCCTGTGCCCAATCCTGATGCAGCCGGCTGACGTGGTACTGCGAGCCCTGGAAGAAGAGCAGTTCGTCGCGCACGCACTCCTTGACGAAGACGCCGCGGGCGTGCTGGTCGACGATGGATTGTTTGTCCTGGTCATGATCAGCAAAACATTTCCCTCGCGATTCGGATGCGAGGAGGAGGAGGAGGGTGGAAGACTTACCGCGACAATCGCATTTTCCACCTTCTCCGCCTCACCGGGTTTCGCCGCATCGCCTTTTAGTTTGATCGTCTGCAGTTTCTGCTCGTTCTGCATGATCCGCTTCTCCAGCTGAGGAATATTGTCCTTGAGGCGATTCCAGCGATCGAAGAGGTCCCTCAGGCTGACGAGGCCATCGCGGACGATCTTCAGGTCCTCAAGCACGCCCTCGTCCCATCCGCGCGCCTCGTTGTCGAGCAGCGTCTGCGATGTCGCGAGGTGCTTGGCCACGCTCTGCAGGCCATCGTTGAGCATGGGGACGTCGTTGCGGTCGATGGCGTAGACGTCGGAGCTGGTCTCGGCGATGCTGAGGATGTTGGTGTTCAGACGACCGTACTCCACGGCCAGGCCTTCTTTGCGCTTGCAGACGCGTTCGACGAGGTTGCACAGGTGGATGTAGAGTTCGGCGCTGCGTCGGGTGCCGGCTTGCGCGGTGTCGAAGGTGCTGGTGAGGTCTTGAGGGAGACTGTCCTCGAGGTCGCGAGGGAGGGCTTTGCCGACGAATTCTTCCTGCACGCTGATGGTGGCTTGTTTGCGCCAGACGGAGAGCTCCTGTTCGGGGAAAGGGATTAGCGTGACGCACAATTTTGGTCCGGTCCATACCAAAACTTACGGTAGGCACGGTCAAGAACATCACGACCAACTGTTCCTCCCTCAGGATCGGATGTCGGACAAGCGCGTTCGTGAATCTCGCCAGGCCACGTCTTCTCTTCTCGATGAACAGCGCATCCGCCACGATGTGGTTACCATTGATCGCGACGCGTTTCGGCGGCAGCAGCGGTAATTGTCGGAATGGGTAGCGCTTGTGCAGGCACTCGAGCAACCAGACGAAATCGCTGTACCGTCGAATCACCTTGCTGTTGCGCCGCGCCGATGCCACCTCGTAGTTGCGGTGCTGGAACAGGAACAGCCCTTCCTTCTCTCCCAGGAGATTTACCGTGATGATCTCCTCCACACCCTTACCAGTAACGATGCGAGGCTGTGCTGGCCGTCGAGGCGTGCTGCCTGTTGCGTCGCCGTGATCTCCGAAGCCGCCTGAGGTGGTGATGGTGCTGCCGAAGTTCTCCGAATCGGCGCCAAAGGACGCCGAGGCACCCCAGCTAGTTCCTTCGGTGTGTCCTGCTGTTGGACCCGCTCCGTATCGACTGCTCGCGAGGTTCTCAGAAGATTCCGAAATGGTGTTAGTCGTGTAAGAGCTGGTGGTCCGACGATTTGAACCGTTCTCGCCATTGGGGTTCTCGACCGGGTGATTATGGTTCTTGTGCAATGCCGGACTACCCCAAGGATCGCTCTCCACCCCGAAACCCGCCCCGAAAGATGCCTTGCGCGGTTGCGGCTGGGCACGCTGCGTTTGCACCGGACTCGACGTCTGTGCTGGTGCTGCCGCAGCAGGTCGCGATCCAGAATGCTGTACAACTGATGCCAACTGCGGTACAGGTAGGCGTCTCCGGCGCTCGTCTACCGCATCCAATCCCAACTCTTCACCCTCCTGTGCCAGTCCGATGAGCGCGAGCAGCACGTTGAACTCGCCGCGTTCTAGCGCCGCGAGCTCCGTCGATGAAGAGCCGCTAACAATGCTCAAGATCTGATTCTGGTCAGCCGGGCTGATGCGGCTTTCGCGGAGGAGGAGACGGCAGTGCTGCGCGTCGACACGGCCAGTGCCCTGTGCGGCGCCATCGAAGGTGTCGATGTACAAGTCCGGCACGTCGGCATCGGCGAGGAGGGTTTTGACCAGGTTTCCGCGTCCGGCGCTCTTCTTGGGAGTGAACCCCCAGGGTGAATTGTTGTCGTTGTCATTGGTGTCGGCGGCGGCGGAGGAGGAGCTGTCTGCAAACATGGAAGAGGTGGAAGGTTTGGTGGGTTTACGGGCATTGTCGTCGTCGAAGAGGGATGCTTTCGGCCGCGAGCCCGCCGCATCGTCGTCGTCGCCGAAGAGCGACATTATGTTGTGGTTGTGATTGAGGTGCTGGTCGTGGTGATGATGATGGTGATGACGACGAATTGAGCTTGACCGTTGCAACTGGCGTTTATACCTCCGAAGCACTCCGATTAGTACTAGTGTAAGTACAGTTCAATGTAGTCACAATGACTCCAAATCACACGATGCAGAGGTTCCTAATATCAAAACGACATATGTGTTCGTGAAAAGTGTCAAAGAGGGTACACACAGCAGATTACGGTGTATTGAACAGGCTGACGATCGCGGTGCAGGAACTCGAGCGTGCTGCTGCAAGTCGGAAAGTAGGCGACACACTACTGTACCTAGTAGTCAGGCAAAACGTGGGCGACAGCTCCACCCCGACCGAACCTGGACTGACCGGCGCGGAGAGTGCACAAATAGCGACATCTTCCAGTCCAGCCCACCCACGACACACAGTCCGTCTGCCAATGCGCGCTTGCAACCACTTTCTGCCAACTTCAATGGGAACTGAAAACTCTATCGTCACCACCATGAAACGGCGTAAACATTCTTCCTCTGCAAGGAGAGTCAGATGAATATGCTTCTGAATGGGAGGAAGAAAATGGTTGAATCTTCGAAGTGTTGAATGTGATTTCCCTGCGGAAGGAGGATTCTGAATTGTATCTATGTGTATAGAACTCCGAAGAGATGAAACAGGAAGGAAGAAGCAAAGTCTCCGCGTGATATGTACGAGATGAGACGACGAGAAATGAGGGTATCTACCAAAAAAAAGAAAACCAAGGAGACATCCGAATGTCCGCCCAAATGCATGCAATGCCCAGGACCTGTCCACACATGCCCCAAAAGATGCCGCGATGCCCAATGCTCCGTCTATGCCCACCAACCGACTTTTGCGTCATATAAAAAAATGCGAGTTTCCAAGAGGAAAGCTCCCCTCCAAAACGCCAACGCTAAATGGAATCACCAAGCCAAGAAAATAAAAGAGAGAAAGGGTCCCTGCAAAATTTAGAGCCTTCAAGATCAAGAACCATCCGTAGGTGAGGACGTCCTGTTCCCAGCGCCCCTAGTCCCGCCAGTGGAAGTAGACAACCCAGTCGGCGACCTTCTCGGCGGCGCCGGGACATGGATCACACGACCGCTCCCGCCCACCGCAGGACTGATATCCTCTGCGCGGGGTGGACCGGTGAGATTGGAGGAGGGGCGCACATCGGCGAAGGAGACGGCCGATGTAGCGGAGAAGCGGGTCGTGGGGCGGGAGACTCCTGCGGCTGATGATGTGACAGGTTCTCCTGGTGTTGCTGTTGTTGTTGTTGTTGTCGTCGTGGTCGGTGCTACTGCTGGTAGTGCTGCGGAAAGGGCAGATATGGGTCGGACGACGTTGTCATCGGAGGGATGACGGGAGATTGCTCCAGAGTCATCGGCGGCTTCCTTCTCGCTTAGTATGGCAGCTTCGATCTGGCGGCCGAGGTGGCGAGTCGGAGCGGGCACGACAATGATGGGAAGCTCAGCTTCTTCCTTGCGATGACCGCGATGGTTTGGGCCACTACGGTTTTTGGGTTGAGCGTCAGAAGGAGAATCGGCCAAGGAGTTGAAGAAGGGCAGCCTGCTGCGGAGGGTTCGCATTGGACTCTCACGAGGCGGTGTGGCAGGTCGAGCTGTCTGCGCCGCGACCGCTTTGGCTTCTTGTACCTCCTTTGGTGGGGAGGTACGTTTTCGTTTGAAAGGGTTCGAGACGGCGTGCCATACGCCCTGTTCGAGGCTTTGAGTCCGTCGAAGCTCGTCGTCTTCTTCTGCAACGTCAGCGAGTTCCTTTTCTTGTAATGCCATTTCACGAGAGTTTCGTGTGGCGTTGGCGCGCGAGTTGCGACTGTGATCGACCCGTCGTCGGACTGGTTGAGGAACATCCGGAACGGTGTCATATTGCACGACATAGACGGTACTCGCTGCGCTGGTCGTGTCTGCTCTACTGACGGGAGTCGGCGCTTGCACGGGTGGCGTCACGCCTCTCCTCGTCATCGAGAATCGAACAGCGTCCCCGCGAGTGATGGCGGCGTTGGGGACCGCCGCTGGAGTCTGAGCAGATGTCGTAGGTTCCGAGCTGGAATATGCCCTACCCAACGGGAAATGCTGAGGCGCCTGGACAGGAGGTTTCGATCGGAAATGCTGAGCGACGCCACTCAGCCCGTGTTCCAGTCCCTTGGAGGCATGGCCGCCGTCGTCGCTGTCGTTGCCGGGACGCCTTCGACGACGACGACGATCACGTCCCCAGCCGCCGTGGTCATTGGGGTCCTCCAAATCGAGCATCTCATCGCCATCGAACACTTCCCGGCCGAGAATCCCATCCTTCTTCTCGTGCCGTTCCAACGCCTCGATCCGATCTACCCATTCCCAGACGATGACACTCGCGGCAGCAGCTCCCACCCATCTCACGTAATCTCCCCATCCCGCGACTTTCGAATTCGAAATGTCCGTCACGAAGAAAACAACCGGAGTGAGGATGGCCACGAGGGACAATAGCGCAATCAGGCAAATGCTGCGCATTTGTGGGTGATAGAATGCATATCGATACTTGGTGAGCGCGAAATAGATGACCCAAGCGGCGTAGAGTAAACCAACGGAAAGTTGAAAAAGATATGATAGTGCTGGCACGGCGTCGACGAAATGACGGCCCTTGGCTGTGGAGCCAATGTGAAACGCATTCAAGCAGGAGAAAAGTGAGTCGAATAAGATGAGCGCAAACCCGATCCATTTGATGAGGACTTTCTCCTTGTGTCGTGGAAACAGGCGGATCAGCGTCTGGACTTGAGCCAGCCACAGAAAGACATCCGAGATGAGGCGAGTGATTTTGATCTCCGTGGATCCCAGCACAGTTGAGCGGATCTCCGAAGCGTCCATATATCCGATGACGTATTGCTTGTATGCCACGGCAAAGGTATCCGAAACCGCGATGGTCAAGGAGATGGCCACGGCGAGCGCAGCGACCTTCTGTAGCCATGGTCGCGTCCCTGAGCCGGCGAAACTGGAAGGACCATTCGCGCCACCGATCATACCATGCCCACTGCCCAACGCCGCCGGAGCCACAGCCATTCCTCCGTATAAAGCCGTTCGCGGCGTCACGACCAGCATGATGACCAATATCCATGCAATCACCGTCGCCGCGGCTATGACAAAGGTCATGGGAATGGTCGAGGCGTAGAAGTCATCGCGAAGGTCGCTGTTGATCATCCGGCCCGGCGAGTTTCCCGAACATTGCGGCTCAAAGGTGACAGTGGTCGTTAATGTGATTGCCGAATCGCCGAATTGTATGATGCCGTTGGCAGGGAGAATGAAAGGTGTACAATGTGGTGGCGCGGTGGTGGTGGTATCGGTGCGCAGGTTCCAAAGCTGACGTGGGACGATTCCGGTCGCGACAGACGTCGGAGTCGGGATGCTTTGTAGAGTCGTGGCCCATATCGCTGTCGGCTGTGCTGCGACAGCAAGAGTGGTAGATATTATGTCCATGTTCTGCGATCCAAGATAGTTGCAGTACGGCCTCGGGGGCCTCTCAGTGCGCACGCGGGCGCTCGTGGGAGCGATGACAAAATCACGAAGGCATCTGATGCGGGTTCAAAGTAGACATGTGGGCGACGATGGCGTTGTTGTGGTGGTGGTTGTTGGAATGTATCAGACGAGGACCAGATTGAGGGAGAGCGACGTGGTGCTGAGAGTGTGAGACGGATGGAAGCGTTTGTTCAGCGGCGACGGTTCAATCATCCCAACTGTTCGACATGGAGACGGGTGTGGAAGTGCTGCTGGGTAGGGTAGGGTAGGGTAACAGGCGGTGGGTGTTGGGTGTTGGGGTGGTATTGAAGGTGTCCTCCACCCAAATCCACTCCACTCCACTTGCCCCAACTTCGAGTCCGGTCAGGGTCAATCACGTGGATTCGGGATGCACACTGCGTTCGGAGGTGATGGGCGGCGATTGGTCCCATCAATCCCATAAGGCTACAGCCTACATGCGACTATCCGTTTTATGGCACATTTCACCAAGCAAGTCCACTTCGGTCCATCCGTAACGTTGAGCATGCGATCATGATACCGCCATTTCATATCGATGCCGTACGCAGGGACGATTATCTTGCCGGGCGCGCAGATATCCGAAAACGACCGACTCGAAACTCTGTCGGGAGACGCATGACGAATTGACCGCTCACAGAGGATGGTCAAGGTTTGAGTCCAACGGTCTTGGGAGGGCCTGGTTCCCTGGCAATTCTCAGGCGAGAGACGGGAGAATCAAGGAGCGAAGGGAGTCTTGGAAGTTGCTTGTACCGATCCATCGCTTATCTCTAGGCACGGCGCAGAGAGTGGGGATGAATGGGAGAGCGAGAGGCTGGTGGGCCACTACAACGGGCGGACACACAGCGCATTTCCCTCTCATCAGGATTCATCTCATGCACTTGGTTTTCTTAGGTGCGTTCCATGGACAGTACAATTGCTCTTATCTTGAGATGAACGGAATCCGTCCTTTGCGATATTCAGGACGGACTTTTTGGATGAACTATCCTGCCTGACTATCCCTTCAGATCAAAAGCTTTTGCGCAAGTACAATAGCAGGACAAAATCGCCATGCAGCGTTTTTGCCGGTCGAATTGGAGTGGGCATCGCCGTTTAAGCGTGGAAGACTTCACCTCCAGTGACCACGTGATCATTCTCATGTTCCGTTCATCCACTACACCATGACTCGGTCGGTATACAGGCAGGTGATCCTTTACCGTCCAGTCGTCACCGATGCCCGGCCGATAATTGTCCGGAAGAGAGCTCAAGGCCCGAATGGCGAACAGCTTCAACAAGGTCCACCCAGGGCGGTCTCCTATGGGGAATTCAGACCTTAAAGTACAGCACCACTTGTATAGAAAGCCCCACTGAATCTCTTCGTACCTGACACGAGACTCCAGCTATGTGGTCGTCATCGTTCTCCTCATGGTATCTAGTTCGCAAGTGAACTTCACCTTACGGGAAAGATATATCCCGGTGCTTGTCTTGGCTGCAGCCAAACTCGATACATTTCTGGTCGGTTTCTTGAGCGATGTTAGGGTTATCATCCTGGAACAAGATTCAACGCGCTACCATCGTTCTTCAAGGCATTGTCGGATCGTAAAGGATGGCTCGACCACAGTGTGGAATTGGACTGGAGAAGACTCGTCCAATATAGCAGACCTCGATGGAAAGTCTGCACGATGTAAATTCTCTAGTGACGGGACAGCCGCAGCCAATGGAAGATTGATATTCAGGACCAGCCAGTCATCGGTCAGCTCAGGGTTCATGTGTATGCAACTCACCTGCATCGTTCATCCCGCACGTGCCTGAGGCGTGGGATCCGTCCACGGTTCGTCCGAATCGCTGACATCAGCGGGGTATCGCGTACATCGGGCGTCGATTTGACGACATGCATAGCAAGGGATTGGTGATGACCTAGGCAAGGGCATTGACCTCTCGAAGTTCTGGCATCGGAAACCACATCGACGACGAAGATACAAGATTGAGTTGATCATCCGAATCACTCTACAAGCTAGTATCGATCACAACACAGATCCATCGTCACAATTCGAATACGGCATTCCCGAGCTGAAGCCAAAGCAAGAACAAGAACAAGAACAAGAACAAGAATCGCGAGTCATACATTCCCGCTGTGCAGAAGAATTCTTCCCAGGACCAAGTGGATCACTCAAAGCATACCCACGCCACGATGTCCACAGAACCCAACCTCAAGACATTGCATCCCTGGCTTCAGGAGAATACCACTCCAGTAGGCTCCACAGGCGGGACTGTGAAGAGCTTCTCCCATGATCTCGGCGACAACGGACCCATCCTCTGCGCGGTCCACGGCTGGCCGCAGAGTTCGTATATGTATGTTCATTCCCCCTAGCGTTCCATGCTTCTCTGCAAGAGATGATGTCCATTCCAACCCCCCAAAAGATATGCCCCAATCTGTTGGACGGCCAACGCCATATCAAAAGCCAACGGCGAAAGAAGAAAAGTCTTCTGACCATCGCATTGGATATCCTCAGGTGGCGCCACGTCCTGCCCTCCCTCCGTCCCAGAATCTCCCTGTTCGTCCCCGAGATCCCGGGCTACGGCTTCTCCAGCCCGCCGGCCGCCTACGACAAACGCACCGTCGGCGCGCTCATCCTCTCCGCGCTACGGACGACCTTCGGGTCCAGCCGGCCGATAATCTGGTGCGGCCACGACCGCGGCGCGCGGATCGGCCACCGGCTCCTGGTCGACCATTCCAATCCCTCCTCCTCCTCACCAAAGGATCAAGACAACACCAACCACAACGAGATCCTGTCCGCGATCATCATCGACATCGTCCCCACCCTGCGCCAGTGGCAGTCCTTCTCGCACCCGGCCGCCAGCCGGGCCTATTTCCACTGGCCGTTCCTCGCGCTGCCGCACGCCGCGGACATGATCCTCGCCATGGGCGGGGCAAACTTCACGCGGATGAACCTGCGGAACGCGCTGGGCGAGAACCCCGCGGGGCGCGCGGGCTTCGAGGCGGACGGCGCGGTCGAGGTCTACTGCCGGCAGTTCGACGACCCCGAGTGCGTGCGGGGGGCCTGCGCGGATTACGCGGCGGCGGCGGGGGAGGACGTCGATCTGCAGATGCGGGACATGGAGCAGCCAGGAGGAGGAGGAGGGGGAGGGGGAGGGAGGAACGTCATCCGCGTGCCGACGATGGTGATCTACTCCGCGAGGAACCTGGGCAGGATGCACGATGTGCCCGGGGCGTGGGAGGGATGGATCGACGCGGGCGTGGAGGCGAGGTTCGTCGGCGTCGGGGACGGCCACGGGCATTATCTCCCCGAGGAGGCGTCGGATCTCGTGGCGGAGAGGATCCTGGAGTGGATCGAGCGGACGGCGGGGGGGAAGGGGGAGGGGAAGTAGCGGGGGAAGGAAAAACACGAAGAGCCCCTTTGGACCGGAGGCGGACGGCAGTGGACGTATCTATGGAAAAAGGATCTATTGGTATTTCGAGGGGATGTTTGTTGTCCGGTCTAGAAGAGGGTGTGGGTATCATCGCGCTATGTAAAAAAAGGAGATCTGAAAGGGGAGTTCGAGACCCTCCCTCTCCTCTCTTTGGGAAGAGGACGACGAGTCCAAGAAAAGAAATAACAAAGGTCGATGAAAACACAAGTGTCTCGTCCGAGATGGCGGGGGAAAAAGAAAACAAGGGACGATCGAAATCCCGAAAGATGGCTCCGAGGTCATGACACCTTGGACGTGTATCCCGTCGGACAGACCGCCTCGCCCCAGCCCACCGTCCACCTCACGCTGCCCATGATGACGAGCATCAAGCCCAACGATCCCAGCACGCTCACGAGCGCATAGGTGTACGCGTGCCTCCTGCGCAGGGCCCTGATCTCCGCCACGAAGGTGCTGACCGTGGTCAGGCTGCCGCAGAAGCCATCCATGACCCCCTGCAGGATCTGGCAGCCGATGCGTCCGCCGCCGGGCAGGCCCATGATGCCGACCCCGACGTGCTGGACGTCGTACGCCATCCCCTCGACCGCGGAGCCGAACATGTTGACCGCGAACGTGCCCAGCGGGAACGTGACGACGAGGGAGTTCAGCGTGCTGCTGGAGTAGTACCGCAGCAGGCAGCCCGCGGGCGCGAAGACGAGCGCGAAGAGGACCTCGCCGCGCCAGGCCTCGCTCGGGGGGAAGATGGCGAGGAGGACGGCGCCGAGCCAGCAGCCCCAGCCGAGGAAGACCATGAGGGGGTCGAGGGCTTTCCGGAGGAGGAGCGGTGGGAGGACGGGGAGGTGGCGCTCGAGGGACTGCGCGAGGTGGGCGCCGACGATGAGCCCGCCGAGGGAGAGGGCGAGGGTGGTGGAGACGACGGCGAGCACGGCTTCGACGGAGTAGCCGCCGTTGCGGTCGGCGGAGTACGTCGGCAGGGGCGCGGTGTCGAAGGGGTGGCTGTTGGGCGTGGGGAGGTCGTTGGACAGGGCGAGGAAGATGTCGCGGGCGAAGGCGGAGAAGGAGGTGAGGCAGCCGCAGAAGCCGACGGCCAGGCCGATGTAGAGCGGGGAGCGCTTCTTCTGCTTGGCGAGCTCGTCCTTGTCGTTGAGGTCTTCCCAGTTCTGCGGTTTCTCGGAGGAGAGGATCGTGCGGGAGACGTCGCGGAAGAGGTTGTGGTCCTCGAGGAGGAAGCCCATGATGAGACTTCCGCCGAAATTCGCCCACACGGCTGGCGTCACGATGGGGGTGCCAGGGTAGAAGGTGCTCCATTGGATCCCGAGCCGTAGTAATGTTCCCCAAATGGAGAAGAAGATGAGATATGAGACGGTGTAGAGAGTGTTGAGGAGTGGCGGTACCGGCGGCAGCTGTTTCGCTTTCCATTCTTCCTCGGACTGCGGTCGGAATGCGCCTGCTGGAGAACCCGCGCTCTTCGTCCGCGCGAGGTTCTCGCCTTTCGAATCGAGTCCGTCTATGACCCCCGAATACCCACCCGAGGACGGCACTGGCGGGAGCGCGGTCGTCTCCTTGAGGATCGGCGCGCGCGAAGCTATCGTCGTCGTTTGACTGTGTGACCGACCATGTTCGGGGTCTCTTTTGCTGAAATTGCGCGCGGGATAGCTCATGTGCGCCTGTTCGCGATAGGAAGGTTCGTGCTCGCTATGGGACGGGAGGGGTGATGGGAGAGCGGGAGCTTCCTCCAGCTGGCGAAACTCGTCGGCGACTTGGTATTGCTGTTGACTGCTGTATCGTTTCGATCTGACCTTGGAGGCGCGACTGGCCGAAGAGACTGGCCGTGATCGGTTGTTCATGGCGGCTTGCTGTTCGAGGGAAGCCATCTGACTGCTGGTGGAAGGCGGTCGCGGCGCAGCGCGGCTTATACGTTGATGGTCGAATGCGCTCTGGCGGCGACTGCCGACGGTACTGGCGGAGGGCGCACGCGGTCGCGTTTGGATAGGTTCCTCGGAGGCATCATGGTACGACTGTTCTTCGGGAGATTGGGTTGACCGTTCCCGGTCGGCCATGGCTGGTACGGTATATGCAGGTCTGCAGGAGGTGAAGATGTCCGGATTTGGGGATACGAGGACTCTCTTCGTGGACCGTTAAGTTGCCCGTTTATGGGTGAAGTGATGATCGCGGAGCCGTCGACATGTAGAGGGAGGAGAATGTCGGCCACGAAGATACGGTTTGTGCTGTTATTATAATCCAATGAATGACATGAAGCTGAAAGGAAAGACGATTGCTGGGTGAGACAAGGGTAGAGATCGCGCGATGAGGAAGATGGAGAACGAACAAACGGGGCTCGAAGCCTAGCCACGATCCATACTCGACGTCGATGAGGTGGAAGGTGAATCGTGTGCGTGCTGAAAGGGCAAAAGTGGTGAGGGAAGTAGAGTGAGTAAGACTCGGAGCATCCAGGCGAGCAGCTCTGTTTACCGTCTGTCCCTGGAAACGCCCATCCATTTCTGGATCCTGGTGTATCATCCAGGCGTAGGGGATCAAGAATGGATGAGAGGATGGAGGATTTACCGGGGCTGGCGCAAGTTGCAACGGTTTTTGGGGCCCACCACTAATTTCTTCCCGCCAATCACGAGGGAGATGCTCTGGACGTTAATCTCTTCTTCTCCAGGGCTGTCCGCAACCTCGGACGTTGCAGGTGGTCTACAGTATATCCGGCGTACTGTATACTGTGTGTATAGGATACATCGTCACTCGTTTCTCATTGAGATATCGTACAGTGGATCTGTACCATCGACGAGTCGGAATGCAGTATATGAGTTGAATGAACGATGCATATGCAGAAGACATTAAAACATCCTAGACCGTCCTGCAGAAATGGCAGCAGTCCTCGTATCCTTATTAATACTAGGTAGGTAAGTACCTAGGCAGGTAGGTAATAACTGTCGGAGGACGCGATTGCAACGCGTGGATATATGCAAGCCGAGCGTGTCTGTCTCGCATGGAAGAAGAAGAATAGATGGCCGTTGAATAGAGCCATCGGATCTGCATTCCCACGTAGATCTCCTACCGTACAGGAGGTATGTGTATATGTATATGCAGAGCTCGTGGATGGGATGCATGAATTGTGATGAGCATTATATTAGTGTTACACGTGCGATCTGCATTGAAGACGGAATATGGTTCGCGACTTCTCTGAGGCGCTCTCCTCGATTCCCTCTCCGACCGGGTTTATGGAACGGGACTGCTTGATGTACAGTTGATGTACAGTATGTGTCATGGCATACTGCGTGGATGCAGACTGTACATCGACCGTACATGACGATGTATGTAACAGCTCCACGGCCATGGAATTCCCCGTGTCCATCGTGGATGGGAACGCTCCCGTTCGACGTCCGCCTTGGAAGTTGCGTGTTCGCGGAATGACGATTCCCCTCCACCGACCGGGTTTGGGAATATTGCCCAGGTGTATTGGAAAAAAGCACCAAGGAACAAGGATGGCGGGGAAGAAGAACGGGCATCAAACGGACGATAACACGGTTGCCGCAGCCGGATCGTTCATCTTACCTCGCTGCATATATGTATATTGCACGATGGTCGTACCGCATGGTAATGATTGATGATTACCTAGGTAGGTACTGTAGATGTGCATCATCATGTGCAGCCAGTATGCCATTGGTGGTGAGGTGAGATGTAAATATCCTGGAGCATCGTCTGGTCTGGGATGGGACCTGGTTGGGCTCCGTTCGTGTGGGGTGATGAAACCCGCTACGGGTTACATACATTGGAGCGGGATCCATCAATTGATCCGAAACCAGGAGGGACAACAGGCGGAGGTTTGCCCGCAGGTCCCGCCGCCAAATCTGGAGGGCTGGCTGGCTGTACCACGTCACGCGCAATCCGGTTGCTATCTGCCCATACAGCAAGTCCAGTACTAGGTAGAAGCTCTTGTTATCGTACTGTATGCCTGACGCCCGACAGCTCTCCTTTCTCCTTACAGCGTGACACTTGCTGGCAGAACATCGGTGACTCTCGCTCTTATATTCTGATCTCCTTGACGAGATTCATAGTACATTGTTCATCTCATTCGTTGGAGGTTCACTTCACGATCTGACTTCGACTATCAAAGCACCACCCGGACTTTAGGCCCACATAACTCCGAAGTTCAACAACACGAGCATCTACACACGAGTGGCAGACCGCCAACACACACACACACACAAGTGCACACATAAGTGCAACCTCTCCTCCTCCTCCTCCCCCCTCGACAAAGAAAGGACACGAGTTTCGCATCCTCCGGGTTGCAGCTTCTCCTACAACGACGACCCACCTCCTCCGTCCACAGGTCATCATGGCGAGCTCAACCAGCTCCACCACGACCTTCCCTCCCTCGGTGCACATCTCCCAACATCCCTGCGTCCAAGCCAAACTCAGCCAGCTCCGATCCGCCTCGACCAACGCTCGCGAGACCAAGGCCCTGGTCCATGAGATCGCCACCATGGTGGGATGTGAGGCATTGGCGAAGGCCTTGACCGTGCAGGCGGGAGAGACGGTAAGCGGTTCGATTCCTTTCTCTTGGACACGATGTGAATTGGAGGAGTTTTCTCAATTCTGACTCAAATCCCCCCCTTTCCACCTCACAGGACCACTCCCCACTCGGCTACCCCTACCAAACAGCCACCATCACCCCTCAGAACATCCGCCTCGTCCCCATCCTCCGCTCCGGCCTCAGCATGATCGACGCCGTGCAATCCCTCCTCCCCGTCGCCGTGCCCGTGCACCACCTCGGCCTCTACCGGGAGAAGACCACGCTCCAACCCGTCGAATACTACAACAACCTCCCCTACCACAAATCCTCCCCCTCCTCCGCCTCCGGATCCCAACCATCGTCGTCCGCGGATCTCGCCATCATTCTCGACCCCATCATCGCGACCGGGAGCACCCTGGGCGCGGCCATCGAGACCCTGCGCGAGGCCGGGGCGAAGCGGATCCTGGCCATCGCCGTCCTGGCGAGCGAGACGGGCCTGGGCAAAGTCGCGGAGATCTGGCCCGAGGGCGTCACCATCTGGGTGGGGGGCGTGGACCGCGAGACGGACGGCAAGGGCATGATCAAGCCGGGACTGGGCGACGTGGGCGATCGGCTGTTCTTGACCGTGGGGAAGTAGGAGCGATGGGACCGGAGAAGGTGGAATTTGTTTTTGAGAATCAAGGGAGAGGGCCGGGTGGAAGCTGAGTGGGTAGGATAGGAGCGGACAGGATAATGAGAAACGGATTTCCGATCGACGATCGAAGAGATGTATCAGTGACGATGAGAATCATGAACAATACCAACCAATGAATTTCATGTCATTCTCGGGAACGCGCGAGGTTGAAAATGTCAAGGAAGAGACGACAGGATTGACGCTGAAATCCCACCCACCACAAAAAAGATGCCGACCATTGTTCGAGGCGCCTTGCGGACATTTCTCCTCCTCGAGGAGAACAAAAAGACCATCAATCCCAAAAGCAGAACGAAATGAGAAAGGACAGTAAAGCCACCATGAAAAGCCGAGTGCCCTTCTCCATGCCCGAATACACGCCGATCACGAACGAACCCAGCACGCGAATCTCGGCCCAAAAGTGAAACCCCCCCAAACTGATGAGATGGAAGATAGGGGAAAGAAAGAAAATAGGGAAAAAAGGAAAATCGAACGAATGTAATACAAAGACGACGATCTAGGGAAGAAAACTGAATTTCTTCGTCGTTTTCCCCATCATGATGATCATCATCGTCGACAAATGGATCCGATCGAATCCTCGTGGAAAATTGTTACAGAAAGAACCCCGCCCGTTCGCCCGCCCGCCCAGAGAGGTCCATGGTCGCCGTGGGGCGAGAAAAGAATAGGGGGAAGAAAGGGGAAGTACAAGGAGGGGTGAAAACATTGAAACGGAGGCCCGTGATTGAGTTTTCTCCCCCGATTCGGCCCCTTTCCTGGAAAACACCATGCTTGCTTGCTTGCTCGCTTTGGAAAAAGTATTGAAAGATGGGACGAAAACCCCGAAGCGAAGGAAGATGACAGAGAAGAGCCGACAAAATGGTCAGAGTAAACAAGGGGGACAAAAGGTAAAATCATGAAGAAAGCATAATAATAATAATGGTTGGAAGTCCTCCATCGAGCAAGCCCAACTTTTTCCCTCCCCCTCCTCCTCATCAAAACGAAACACCGTTCCCTCGTTGTTGACCTGCTCCATTCATTTGTTCCCAACCCGTCCGTCATCAATGTTTCCGAGAGAATTCCATAACCGGAGATTCCACCGCTTAGACCGCGACGGCACGGATTCCGCAATCCAGACAGATCCACCTCACCGGACCTCCATCCTTGGCCGCCCGTGCCGAGAAGGAGATGCTCCCGCAGTGGAGGCAGTGCATGAGGGGTTCGTCGATGGGGGTTGCCGCAGAAGGCTCCGGTTTGGCCGCAGGTTTGGCGCTGCTGTTCGTCGCTGTGGTGGCAGTGGTGCTGATCTGGGAGACGGAGCGGTGGGAATGGTGGGAGCGAGGACGTTGGTTGTTGTTGTTGTTGTTGTTGATGGTGAAAGTGGATTGGTGAGAGTGCGGCGAACGGTGGAGGGAGGGATGGTGGTGGCGGAGATGGTCCGGTTCGAGTTCGTAGTAGGAGTCTTGATGGTCGCGGGCGTCGTCAAAGGCATCGTTGTCGCTGTCGTCGCCGTCGCCGGGATATTCTCCAATCGGTGTCCCGCGTTCGTCGCTCAATACGGTGACGAAGGTGTCCATGCGCGCGAGCATTCCCGGCTGTGGAGGCTGAACGGCGAGATGTTCCGGGTGGTCTGGCGATGTGGGATCTGTCGGGCTGGTGTTGCTACCACCTCCTGCGGCGTTCGCAGATTTCGACTGTCCTTCGTCAGCGAAGTTCCCGTCTCCCGCTAAAAGTGTCGCATGGTAGATTGTGCCCGCCTCATGCTGCTTCCGCCAGTTTTCTGCGTCCTGTCGGATCCGGTCGAGATCCCAAAAGGCGTATGACTGTCCTCCGACGATGTCTAGAGGATTCTCGCCCGAGAGCTGCGGTTGTGGCGAGGGCAATGGCCGGGACGGATTCGCGACGGCGGACGATAGTACAGCCGCTTCCATAGGATCTTGTTCAATTGGCGATGGAGAGGTCACCAACGCTTGCGCGAGAAGCGTTTCGGTGGTCGCGGGGGGATGGATCGGAGAGGATCGAAGACTACTGTCGCTGGTCTTGTAAGGATCTGCGCGGGAGCGCAGTTCGACGGATCGGCGAGAAGATGTGCTATATCGATTCTGTTTGGCCGACGACACAGCCGTACCCGGATATGTGGAAACGCCAGTCCGCCAGGAGATGATCCGTTCTGATGGGGCTTGCGTGGATGCGACAGACATGCGCTTGTCGTTCAAGCTCCGTTGGCTTGTGCGCGTCGCGAAGGATTCTGCGCGGCTCAGCTTCCCACTCCGCTTCGTAAAGATGGATGATTTGTCCCAATCATCTTGTCGTCGTTTCGACCAACCGCAATCTTGCCGGAACACCTTGATCTTGCCCAGAAAGTCGGCGGTGATGATGATATGGCCTGATTTGTGTACCGAACGAGCTGCATGGGCAATTGTGTCCTTGGATTCGCCGATCTTGATTTCGCCATCCGGGCTGTCTGGCATACCTGACCCCCGTGAACCCTGCCGTTCCGCACGACTCAGCAGCATCACAGGCGGGGGATTGCACATATCGTAAACAGGATCCTCTGATTTGCTGAGATGTTGTCGGGTCTTCGTCGGAGCGATACACACCACGGTGGTGATAGTATTATGAGCCTCAAACATCTCCACGGGAATCTTGTCGCGCTTGTCATGTTTGTCGTTTTGAGGGTGATCCAACGACCAAAGATATGCCATGCGATCTTCCGAACCACAGACGACATATTTCCCGTCATCGCTGACAGTTGCACGGATCTGACTGAAATTGTTCTCGCTGCCGCGGAATTTGAGCTCGAGGCTCTTGTCGCGAAAATTGTAGAGTCGTACGCGGGAATCATTGCTCGTGATCAACACCTTCGTCGCTCCGTTTGGACCGTAATGGGAGCGAATGCCGGTAATCTTACTGCCCTTGGCATTGTGCCCTCGTGTTGAGCGCACATGGATTTGCGATTGATATTTCAAGCCTTCCGTCTCGTAGAATGTGCACAGCCCACTCAAGCAGCCGGCCATCGCATGCTTTCCATCCGGCGTAAAGCCCACAGCGGTGATCATATCAGGCACTTGCACCATGTATGCAACACTTTTCGTCGCGATGCTCCACAGCCGTAATTTGGAATCTAGCGAGCCTGCCAGGAAATATCGGTCATCCTTGGGATGGAAGACGATTGAAGGGACGTGGTCGTTGTGGTTGAAGGTGAGAATGGAATCGTTCCTACTGACGTGCCATAATCGAACCGTCTTATCCATGGAGGAAGACAGAAGGAAATTGTTCTTGCTCCAGCTGAGGTCGAGGATGGTCGCCGTGTGTCCATGATATTCGCGTAGAGGTTTGCTGTGAAATACGGGGGCACTCAAGTGCTCGGCATGGGTCCCATTGCCCTGTACCTCGTTCTCCCGCGATTCTTGCCGCTCTAGCTGATGACGATCATCCAGATTGGTGAGAACAGACCAAACTCGAACGACCATGTCAGCTCCTGCAGTGGCGAGATATTTCCCATCCCGGCTGAATTCCATCGCCCAAACGGTATTCCCGTCCGTCGCCTGGGTCGATCCTTTCCTTTTGAGTTTGTTGAAGGTTTCGCGCCTCTCGAGTTTGGGAGGAAGTGTGCTGGGACATAGCTCCTGCGCGAGAAACAGTCGATCAAAGTCGCGCCGCGCCTTGAAGCGAGACCGAACTTTGATGTATGCTGGCGGCTGAGGATGGCGGGCATTGAAGCTCATGTTATCCGTCGACTGCGCAAACACCTCCGCATCATTGCCTTCCGGTCGGAGTTCGCCGGTCGAGGATTCCTCCCCGATGCTCTCCTCGTCCGCATCCTTTTTCCTTGTTCCGCCCATCAATCTGCTGATAAAAGATACCGCTTTGATCCCCTTTTTGACCTCCCGCTGTGCCACCGTCTCGATGGTGTCTGTCCTTGCGATGGATGTCTGAACCGCCGGCGCGGTTGAGCGATGTGTCGGATCTGCGTTTGGATGTATGTCGGTAGGATCGGAGGATCGTGGCCGTGATAAAGGTGATGCGCCGTTGGAGGGAGGGATTGTGCGTTGGAAAATGTGCTGTGTCGGGCAAATCAACCAAAGTCAGTGAATGGAGTCGCGGCGGCGCATTCCTGCAAAGTTGAACAAAGAACAATTCCTACCTGTGACAAAGGATCTATCGCAGTCGGAACTTCTGGTGCTGTCGCATCTGGTCTGGGGATCGCGTTGATTGTTTGCCCACTGTTGGATAACGACCTGATCAAACGACCGGGGGTAACCCATCCAGTTGCAGAGCCGGGACGTCCTGATAAGAGAGCAAAAACACCAGATCAGTATACACTCCTCTCATGTGACAGTTTACCCGATGCGAGAGGTCCTACCATTATTAGTGTGAATATGCGCATTACTGTCCCTCGTTGGGGTGTCAGGACGGTCAGTAATGATTTTAGAAAACGAATGGGTCTTGTGGTGCGTGTCGTAGGTCGGTGACAAGGCGGATACTGGAGCGGCATCAAAGTTGTTGGGATCCGTGAGGGTGATCGCCGGGAGGTGGTGATCAGCAGCCATGATCAGATGGTCCCTGGGCCGGACATGCACTCATCCAGTGGTTTCACCTGTGTTAGCGCATCTTCTTTCTTTTTTGTCTCTGGAATATGCGCCCAGTTCCGTCGATTTGGTAGGCAAACAAGAATTGAGGAAGATAAAAATGTCGTAACGATTTGTTTGGTAGTTGGGCGCCTGGTATCCTCACGCGCGGCAGTGATCTGCGATGCTGACAAGCGGATCGCCAAACGTCGTTCAAAAGGTGTGGAGTGATAAGCAGGAGTCGCGCGCGCGATGTCCCGTCAGCTTCTCCAGGCAATTCAGCTCCCACGGCAGCGGGAAAGGAAACCAAACACCTCCAGCAGGATTGGTGAGAGCAGCTTCGCAGTGGATGTAGGTGGATGTAGGTAGGCCGGAGTCGAGATCAGGAACGGGTCAACCGGTTCATTGCCCAACCAAACAGGAAAGTTGCAGTGAGGAAAAGAGGAGATCTGATCGGAGACCAACGTCCGTGACCGTGCGTGTACCGGAAGGAGAGAGGAGATGGCCAGGGTGTTCACAGTTGGACCAATCCAGCCGCATGCGAGGAAGGTTTGGTTGAGATGTATATGTGTGAACCAGAGGAGGACCAGATAAGGACAATGAGAAAAATGATGTACTGTCTTCCAGATCGTTCCGAGCGAGAGTGAGAGCGAGAAACGAATATGTGTGATGATCTCAATGATGAATAATGGTGCTGATGGGCGACCTGAGCGATGACGCGTGGGGAGTAATGGATGGATAGGAGCAGCGCGGATGGAAAGGTGCCCTTGTCCTGGACTAGACTCTAGTCGATGGGCTTCCTTTTTCCTTCGAGGCAGCAGTGGTGGGAAAAGATGATCGCGTCTAGTGTAGAGCGAGTGAGGAGCAGTGCCCAGTGTCAATCACTGTTTGGGGTGTCGCCTATCGTTGCAGCGATGGAGAATCTCGCGTTTCGTGTGTATGTACTGTAGATGGAACAACTTTGGGCATGCGACGGACTCATGCGGCTCACAGGCACAGCATGTCCTCCAGTAACGGATTGCTGCTAGCGATGGCCAGGAGAAAAGACCACGATAGCGCACAGCACCCAAGCTGCCCCAGTTGGAGGGAACTGCAAGACAATTGGACAGATGATGATATAATGCAGGTGTGGACAAGTGCAGCCGCACGCACGGGGTTTTGTCCTGTCACGTTATGGATGAGAATTACAGCCATGAGGCAACCCCAGCGACCATCTCATCCATTACAGACCCTATTTCCTCCCTCTACCCAGGAAACAAGTCAGGGCAGCAAACACGTGGGCGAGGAAACAATCTAACGAGCACCTAAAAGGATTTGACGGGAAATGGTGCATAAAATAGTGCAACGTCATGCGAAGAACCTCTTCCGCCCTCGTTTGGGCATCATACTGTCAGAAGATGTGGTCTGTTCGGGGACTTTCCATCCGCTCTCCGTTCTCGCTCATCATCTCGACGCGATCCTGTCCGTGGTCAGCCTCCCGAACCACCCGACGAGCTCGCGAGAGGCGGAGGTCCAGCCAGTCCCTCATCCGCCCTCAGCCCATCGATCCAGCCCCATGCGCCGCATACATGCATGTCTGCATGCATGAAAGAAAGAAAGAATGCATGCATAAAAGTCATCGAGGACAAACCACACCTCAAAGTAGGTAGGTCGCGCTAAGAGCATTTCCCATGAACTCATCGAATCGTATCCCAATAGGAGGAGCAAATCAATCATAAATAACAAACTAGAAGAGGCACGAAACACTCTATGATTTGCCGGTGGGAATAAAATACAATAAAAATAAGCTGCTGTGTGGCGGTCGTGGCATGGCAGGGGGTGGGGAGAACCTTGGGGGACGGGGCGTAGTTCCAACGGTGGTCGTGGGCACTCGGGCACCATCAACGACGCCGCAGCAACGCCTGTCCGCACCCACCCGGTTCGCCTAATCGGTGCCAGCCATTCGGACTTTCCTCTCACGCCGGCCGGGGCAAGTTCAGCTTCAACGCTCAGGCGAGAAGCAGGGAAATGGGGTGAGCACTAGAGATTTCGTCCAGGGTTGGGTGCGTTTCCATCTGTGTGGGAAAACGCAGGACAGCTGGCCGCCAGTCCGAAAATGATAATAATACAATATGGGTGTACGGAGAGGACCGATGGAAGATGCCCGGGTGGTGTTCAATGAATATAGTGTGAGGGGATAGACATCTGCCAGCCAATGCGATTTACGTCAATGCGTCTTCATAACAAATGAATTTGGCGGTGGTGATATACAGTGTACCCAGTCGTAGCCAGTCTCAAGTCCTCCAGTGCGACTTTCCCCTGGCCTGGTTGATCAAGATGTTGCCAAGCACAATCCCTTCCGGGTACTCTACATGCCTGTTGTGATACGGCAAAGTGCTAAAAGTGTTTCACTACTTCATTGGAATGTTAAGACGAATCTAGGCTGACGAGATTGGCTGTCGCGTGTCCTTTGCCAGGAACCAGCCAGTACAAGAGAGGTGGTCCTGTACGGCCAGCCGTTTTCCCAGTGAAGCACCGTCCACCATTCCCGAACCACGACAGAATTCATCACTATTATTATCGGGGACAGTCTCCCCAGCTGTTCTGGAACATGACCACGGGAGGCAGCAACAATCATGAGGGGAAGATTTCTTCTGTTTTTGGCTTTCTATATATCAAACAAATGCACGCATGCTTGCTTGCTGTCGCTGTCCAGAGCGCCGCCGCTGGGCGAGTAGGTATCATCTTTCGCCGCCCATACACACGAAAGTCATTCGATGATGACACTGTAACCATCCTCCTCGGTCACACACCTCTCCTATCCAAGGAGTACAGGTGGACCTCGTTGATCAAACAAAACTCCGCTGTGAAAAACAGTACACAAAATCCCATCCCGTGCTAACGCCATGAATCCCATAAGCACAGACACATTAGACAAGTAAAGACATCAGACATCACAAACCGAGGACAGACGAAAAGGGGCATCGCACTCTTCTCATCTAAAAGTCCTCGTCGAAGGCAAAGTCACCGTTCATGACGGGCGCCGCCTCGACGGGAGCACCATCTGTCTTGGGTTGTTGCTTCTTGGTCGACTCCATGACACCGGCCTTCTGGTAATCACCCACTCGCTTCTCGAAGAAGTTGGTCTTGCCAGCGAGGGAGATATTCTCCATGAAGTCGAAGGGGTTGGTAGAGTTGTAGAACTTCTTGTTGCCGAGTGCGAGCAACAGACGGTCAGCGACGAACTCGATGTACTGGCACATGAGGTCGGCGTTCATGCCGAGGAGCTTGCATGGAAGAGCATCAGTCAGGAACTCCTGCTCAATGGTGACGGCCTCGGTGATGATGCTCTGCACAAGGGCGGCATCGGGCTTGTTGTTGAGGTGAGAGAAGAGCAAGCAGGCGAAGTCGGTGTGCATGCCCTCGTCACGGGAGATCAACTCGTTGGAGAAGGTGAGGCCGGGCATGAGACCACGCTTCTTCAACCAGAAGATGGCAGCAAAGGAACCTGAGAAGAAAATGCCCTCGATGGCAGCAAAGGCAATCAGTCGGCAGGCAAAGGTGGAGCTCTTGTCAGAGATCCATCGCAGAGCCCAGTCGGCCTTCTTGCGGATGCAGGGAATGTTGTCAATGGCGTTGAACAGGTATGTCCGCTGGCGAGGCTCGCTGATGTAAGTGTCGATGAGCAGAGAGTAGGTCTCGGAGTGGATGTTCTCCATCATGATTTGGAAACCGTAGAAGCATCGTGCCTCGGGGATCTGAACCTCTCCAGAGAAACGCTCGATCAGGTTCTCGTTGACGATACCGTCCGATGCGGCGAAGAAAGCGAGAACGTGGGAAACAAAGAATCGCTCGTCGTCGTTCAATCGCTTGTTCCAGTCGTGGAGATCCTTGGATAGATCGATCTCCTCGGCGGTCCAGAAGGAAGCCTCTGCCTTCTTGTACATTTGCCAGATCTGTGATGATGAATTAGCGCGTGTCGATGCAACCACTTTACGCGTCCAAAACCCGTAACGGATCTGGCACTCACCTCATGGTATTTGATGGGGAAGAGGACGAATCGCTGTCCGTTCTCACGAAGGATAGGCTCGTCTTGCTCGGCGAGCTTGTTGTTGTCCTCAGCCGGCTCATCTTGTTTCCTGGGCGCGTCGAAATCGGGAATGCCCTTGATCGGGACAGCAACCTCGTCTGCGTCATAGCGTGCTTGAATGTTCTCCTTGTTCGCCACCGACTCCATTTGCAATTTCTTGATGGGTGACTCGATAGTGAAGCTCTCAATGGCCGAGGCCGCCTGTAAAAGAGAAATCAGGTTAGCATTGAAGTCGGGTACCATGGAAACGATAACGTCATTGAACAAACATTTTTCGAGGGCGTCGTCTGGACGCTCATGGTTGCGGATGTGAATGTGAATGAGTTTTGTTGTACAAGAGGTGGAATGACTTTCTCTTTGAATAATGACGAGATGTTGGAAAGATGCAAGAAGGTCGTGTTGGTTGGAGGATGAGTGTTTTGCAGAATGTTGTATGAGTGCGGACACGAGATTTAAGAAGACGTGAAGAGTGCACGCGTCCGTTCGCGTTGTCGCGTAGAGACGCCAAGCACAAACAACGCTTTGGCCGGGGACTGGCCTGACGAGCGGCCGGGCGCGGGGCGTGATGGGAATGATGGGTTAGATCTGATAAGAAATTGCGACGAGTCCCTCATTGCAGCTCCCAGCCTCTCTCTTTGGGCCGTCTCCTCTTCCTCGTTTGACGTCCGTGTTATGTGATGATGATAAATCGATGATGAATCGAAACGTTGGTTGCTGCAGGAGCCACCACCTCCATACAATCTGCCTGACGACACCACTCATTCGCGGCACAGTTAACCATCACTACCCTGTTCCGATCTCGGATATAACATTCTCGATCGATGAGCAGATCATTTAGCTGTCATTCACTACCTCTAAACTGCAATGGACAAAACGCAGGGCCGTCACGAGATCATATGGTGTTTTGTTTGCAAGTGATTCGGCAGTGCATTTCGGGGTCGCGATCACTGTAGGCTTGCTTGCATGTGCTCCGATTTACTGGCAGTCTCTCAGCCTCTATCACAAAGACTTCCCGTTTGTGCATTTCTCAGCCTTCAAATGACCAATCAAGACTACCCAGGTAATGTTGATAGATCATCAGAACATGTGTATTTATTACAAAAACGTACCTACACCTCGATACCTAAGCAATTGGACATAATGTTCCAGACGTCCCAGATGTCCCAAAATGGCTTTTGTCAAAAATTATCACTAATAAATTCCAACTTCGAACACGCGTCGCGTCCACCCACGTCACGCGTGTCGAATTTAGCACATCAAATCTTTGTCAATGCTCCAGAATCGCCGGCCTCACTCGGCCATAAGTGTCGGCAAACCACGCCCATCAGCTCGTCACAATGTTCGAGGCCCAGACACTCACTTATTAATACAACTTCACGCATACTGCTGAGGAATGCAGTGTCTGAATCTGCCGAAACCTCGGTGAAGTGTCCGTGGTAGACCTTCTAACTAAACCCCACAGTAATGACTTTCGGAAACGAAAATGGCTGTTCGGCTATGCAGATGATGTTCAGATACACAGGATGTCTATGATTGTATCGTAATTTTTTCGATGCGATGACGACAAGCTACTTGTTTCCTCTTCTGCCACCCTTACGACTTCTATCGACATGCGCCTTGAGGATTTTGCGATGTTCAACCAAACTCCTCTTGCCCTTATGCTTTGCCTTGCCGAGCGTCATCAAGAAGTTCTTCTTGCGAGCCTTCTCCTTATTGGTCGTACTCTTTCCTTCTGATGCCTTCTTCTCTACACGTCTGGCAGTGGTGGAGCGGTGATCGTTCTTCTCGTCCGGATCGCCCTTGGCCATGCGGATCTTTTCCTCCTTGGTGGCTTTCAGTCCGAGCTTTGCAAGACCCTCAATGTGATCTGCTGTGACTTCGTCATCGACATGACGAGCGATTGCGGCCTGCTGTTGCAACTTGCGCCGTTTCGCAGAAGGCATGTTCGCTGTGATGGCGGCTTGTGTGCGCAGCTCCTGCAATTTCGACAGATCGGCTGGCGTGAGGATACGAGTGGTAGCCAGATTTGAGATTCGGGCTTCTTCCCGCTTGAGTGCAATCTCGGGTTCAGCAGGTTCAGTGTTTCGATTAACAGCACCAGGTGCTTGGTCGTCGTCGATTGCAAATCGAACGGTCTTGTTCTCTTTGTCGGAATCCTTTTGGGCGAGCCCGTCCGCTTTCGGTGCCTTCTTCGGCTTTTCATCCTCGGAGTCGGAAATGTCGATTTCTTCACCATCGCTCTCCACGTTGACCCAACCACCACTGCTCTCACTGTCGTCGCTCTGTGCCTCCCAGTCCTTCCATGCTTGCTCATCTTCGTCGCTACCAATTCCTTGCTCTTCTCGCCATTGCTCCAAAAGCTCAAGTCCCTCGATCCCACCTCCATCGACCTCCCCGAATCTAGGGCCCTGCCTCTCTCCAGCTCGTAGACCAAGCGCTGCATCCCGACCTCGATCCTTCTTCTTCAACATTTGAGCTCCAACGTCCCGGTAGAGCGATAAAAGCCCACGAGCTGCCATCTGTACTCCTTTATCCTTGCTTTTACGATACATGACCAAATCCTGCAATAGTGTCTCGGTCATGGTCAAGGGTTGCCGCATGCACACCTCACGAATTCCGTTGAGACCGGCGGACGCCACCTCCGCCGCCGCAGCTTCTGATACGAACTCATTGGCGATTTTCTGAACGAGTGGTTCGAGAACGTCGGGAGGTACTAAGCTGTGCGTTGCCTGAGCCAGAGAGGCCAAGAATCCAGTGACAGAAGGTTGGCGCGGTGTGAGGAATTTGAGGAAGTAGGAGTAAAGCGGAATGAGGGTAAGCTTGTGCAGACCGACCAATCGACTGACGAGCTGTAGAACGAAAAGCTTCTGGTCAAGATTGAGGCGAACTTTCGGCTGTGAAGGTTGGAGATGTCGTTGGAATAGCTTTTCTGCGAACCCCTGAGGGTCGTTTAAAAGATGGAGAGCACTGAAATTCAGAACAGTAGGAGCATTCTTCTTCTTCTCTTTCCGCTTGACCTTGGCCGCAGCAGCTCTGAGTTCTTTATCCCTCTTCGGGGTCTTTTTATTGATCCCAGCCACATGTCGAAGTTTTCGCATGTCCACATCTTCTTCATCATCGCTGACCTCATCAGCAGCGTCTTCTCGTTCTTGATCCGCTCCGAGGAAGAATCGCACGCCACCAGTGACGACTTTTGCGTTTTCACCCAGCGCTGCAGCCTCCATGATGCTCACCGCTTTTGCGTCTGTCCAAACCTGCCTCTTCCATAATTCTCTTGTCAGCTTCACAGCCCATAGTCCCTTGGACGATTTCGGATCCTGGGCAATCAGATCAAAGCAAAGCGTCTGCATCACTCGATTCAATTTGTGATTCGTTGACTTCTTATTCGAATTGCGCATCTCGGACACGATCTTTGTGAAGAGGAGTGCGCGCAAGGTTTTTGATGGCGTCGCGATCAGGAGCGGCCATAGCGTACGAAGAAGAGTTTCGGGCTCTACAAGGCCTTTCTTGCGCAATAACACGATGCTACCCACGACCTTGTCGCGCAGCTCAATATCGAGGGTAGCATGGTGGCCCTCGATCAGCTTGATCAGGTCGGACGCAAACGTCGTCGTCAATTTGGGATAACAATCTGCAACATGCGAGATGAAATCAACAAGATCGCGAAGGCGCACAAGACCTGTGTCGTCTGTAGTCGTGGGCGAATGTAGAAAGAGCTCGAGCATGGAGGCATATTGCGAGTATTGGCTGACGAAGTCCTCGCGGTACGAAGACGGATCAATTTTGATCTTATGCTGAAGGTTTGGTAGATCAGCGTCTACCTTCTCTAAGGCGGCGACTTTGCGTTTCATCGTGGCGGCGCGTGTGTCGGACGATCACGAAGTATTCCACCTGAATCGGGTCGTTGGTTGACAGTTTCTTGAGATTGAGCAAGAGCATTTTTCTAAAATTTCGCCGCAAGGTGCTAGTGTTCCCCAGATTTTCGAGGTCAATTCATCTCTTTCCAGACTAGCCCCCCACCCTTCCGAGGGAAACGATCGGCGGATGCAGCCAGTCGTGGCCAGACTGACGAAAGTCTTTTGTCTTGTGTCGGCCAGGCAGTTGTTATGACAGGAAATTGTAGAATAACACATTTTAGTCAGCTGTAGTAGTTTCTCATGGGATTGGGGGAGACTCGGTTGATTTCAAAGTGCGAATTTATCGTGCTGTGATGATCATTGCAACAGACAGTATCTCTTCGGTCCTTGCCCGATTGACTGCTACAGAAGTGGAGAACAACAGTGCACAGCGGCTCCACCGGCGTGACAGGATCAATTAATGGCGGCAGCACTGAGCCACATTATGACGAAAATTAGAAGCGCTTTTGGCATGCGTTTGGTACGATCCCCGAAAGGCCCATCAACTTGGGACGATCCAGGAACAAGGCTGCCCAAGTGATCCAGAAATGCTTCAGGACTTGATCGACTGCGTCACCGGCCCTCGCAAGGATCACGGAATCTGAGTGCGATGATAAGCTGAGACATTCCTACAGTATCCATGTACCTTCACATCTGGTCGTTGAGCCGCAAACTGTTGCGTGCTACACCAAAAGCAGTATGCGGACAAGGGTCAGCTTTGGAATTAATGCGAATGCGAGACAGCCGAAGCTTCAACAAGCCATAGCAGATCCATAGCAGATCATCATCAAATTATTATCGCTTTTGCCGATCAGGCGCCGTGGCTGTGGCAGTCGCGCGTCATACCATCGTGACAGCGATATAGTATAGTTGACTGCCTACTTAGGTAGACGTTCGGACGAACCTAGAAATCTCACTTTCCTCTTGCTCTGAAGTGCAGCATCTCACCCACGGCATTGTCGCCGATCAGTCCGCGCTGAGCATTGACAACCCATTCGATCTGTTGGGAGAAGATCACTATTCTTGAACCTGATCAAGCTCTGCCACATCATGGTTGGTCTATTCGAAACCACATTCCAGCATGCGTCGAGCACCCCGCTCCCGCCTAACATCTCCGTGGAGACTGGATTGAAGGTCCTCCATGATTTCGAAGGCGTCATCCGACTTAGTCCTGACTGTCGAGGCTGCAAGCCCATTTCACCACCTCAGCCAAGCACCAACGCCACCAATGACAATGGGAGCGACAACAGTGCAGAGGTAATGCGCTACGAAGTAGAAGACGACCTGCCGTTCATACCCAAGAGACTGTGGGCTGGCGGGGTCAAGTACAATGCCGATTTCGTGCCGACACCTGACGGCTGCGATATCACCGTTTACGCACCTGGAGGCTTCACCTCTGTGAATCACTGGCGACTGCTCCGTGATCCCATTTTGGACCACGCAAAAGAGACGCACAAAATTGAAAGCCAGACCAAGGATACTCTGCATATGCGCAATGACAGTGGAGGTGGAGGGTGGTACGTGCAAATCATCAGCGACGCACGATGCCCGAAAGCCTTCGCCAGTTTCGTCAAGGGCTTCTTGAAGAACAGCCATGTTCAATTGCAACAAGCATTCATCGAGAAGGTCAAGGAGACACCCGTCGAGCCGACGGAAGGAGAGCAAGCACAGCGACCACCAATGCGTGAGAGGAGGCCCACGATAGGCAGGAGAAAATCAAGCATTATGTAGTTGTTCCCAATGCAAATGGATGACAGCCAAGATCAGCGGGGCACACATGTATTAGGTAGATCTACATTGCAGATGTTGACAGCATATCTGAGACTTAATGATTATGCGCGTCTGAGCATGCAATTTCGAATACCACCTTTGCAGACCTGCCCAAGTGTGTTGAGAAGAAGACACCATGCGGGTGCCAACGGATTCAAGCAGAAATGTCAAATGCCGGCGCGTACATTAAGATTTCGATGAAGCAACAGGAGCACAGAGTCGAAGAGGGGAAGTAAGATACAAGCGCAATTAGCGGTCGGGATGGAACCAACTCTCGCTGATTGCAGTGGAAGCGACTGCCGAGCTGTCCAAGGTTTTCTCGTTGTGTTGTGATGACATGCACCATTCCGCCGCAGGAAACTCGCCTATCTGTTGGGTCGTGGCAGGATTGGGTGCATTGACTGGGCCGGCAAAACCTGGCTCGCCCACCCTTTGCGTCTGCAACCCTGGGAGGGTAAGAACCGGCGTGGGTTTGACGCATGCACAGTGCTCCACACGCCATCGACGTAGTGGCAGAATTGCTGGCTACCTAGGTAGTTATGTTGTGTGTAATGATGATACAATTCGGCACTTCGCCGTGAATACCAAGGTGCCCATGATCTACAGTCAACGACAAACAAACAAACAAACAGACGCTCACTAGGCTCGCAACACTGCCCAGATGCGTGTCGACCCGTATAGTGAATTCGGGCGACGAGCAATGGAGAAATGGATCATGTACCATAGTCAGATCTGGAGCTGTTTCATCTTTTTTTTCACAATTACGTAGTGTGCATGCACGACCTGGATAGTGATGAATTGGGAGCACGATAATAAAGCACACGGCCGCCAGTGAGGTAAGGGAAGATCCGTTCACCAATCGCCGGGCCATTACGCATTGTTAAAAACATTATTTCCCTCAGGGTACTGCGCCGTGACGAAGCGCATATTCTCTTTCTCTCTCTCAATTCAGCTTTTCTCCCTGTGATAAACCTTGAAAGCAGCGACACGGTCGTATACTAGGCCGCTCGCAGTATATCTGGGTGCTGTCGCGATCATGACCGACGCTCCGCCGTAAGTCCAACCGAGATCTGCATGTGCGACATCTGCCCCTCCTTGCATTCTCACGACTGCCGTTGCGATCCTAAACTCGACTATTTTGGGCTTCAGTTCGACGGAGGACCTTGCAGACCACACTCGGTCATTCGACCACCAAGTCGCTGGAAACAACAATCCCTGTTTACTGACTTCACATCACAGGCTCCACAAGCGCTCCAAGTCTGTGGTCCACCGAGCGCTACAGCGCATCTCCAGTCGCGGCGACGTGCCGCAGCTCAACACGACCAGCGGCAACGCATCATCTACCTCGCAACACGACTCGAACGATCAGTCCACACAATCCAGCCCGATCGAAAGCCGTGCTGGATCAATATCCAATTCTTCATATCTGAGTCCTGGTCGTCCTTCGATGCAGGGTAGCATTCGGCCGCTATCCACGACCATGTCTACTGCGGGTTCGCCGAGTAAAGAAGGCAATGAAGCCAAAGAAGTGCCATATGTCGCATCGACTGCCACGCAAGGCGCGTCAATCGAGCAGAGCGTGCGCCTTTTCAAAGTGTTCGAAGCGCTGCGAAGCGGCGACACTGCGGCAATCGCCAAAGCTACAAGGTCAGAGGATGGAACAGCGCTGCAGGATACCACTGTACTTCACTTGGCCATACAATGTGCAGAGCCGCCAGTGATTGAGTACGTCCTATCCCAACCTGGAACGGACATCAACGCGCAAGACAGCGATGGCAGCACTCCACTACACGTCGCATCCGCACTCGGCAGAGTAGCTGTAGTTAAGCTCTTGCTTGAACAGAAGGATTTAATCGACTCCACTGCCAACTATCAGGGAAAGACGGCGCTAGATCTGGCGAGGACACCTGAGATCTTTCAGCAGCTCCAGCTAGCAAGATCGGTCTACATTGACGCAAACACCCGCAAAATTCACCAATTATTGGCGCAGGGCGACAACGAGCGCTTCGAGCAGCTCATCAGCGACAGCCGACTCAGATCGGTTCTCGATATTAACAGCCCGGAGCTCGCAACAGAGCCCTCGACGGTCGCCGATGGCGGCTCTCTTCTACACGAGGCTGCCCGCAAGAAGGATGTCAACCTCGCGCAGATACTCTTGCTCAATGGCGCAGATCCTTTCAGACGGGACCGCAAAGGAAAACTGCCACAGGACGTCACCAAGGACGAGCGGACGAAAGCCATTCTCAAGAAATCTCCGGCCGCTGCAGTAGCACAAAGAAATATTCAGGAGAGGACTATTCTTGGAGATAGCTTGCAGGCAGGCGCCATCGCCAATGTAGATGGCGGACCAGGCAGTAAGGAAAGCAGAGAGATGAAGGGCTACCTTAAGAAGTGGACCAATTACACATCTGGATACAAGCTACGCTGGTTTGTCCTTGAAGACGGTGTCTTGTCATATTACAAGCATCAAGATGATGCTGGTAGTGCTTGCCGAGGTGCGATCAACATGCGCATTGCAAAGCTCCAAATGGACCCGAAGGACAAACTGCATTTCGAGATTCATGGCAAGAGCTCAGTCAAGTATGATCTGAAAGCAAACCACCAGGTCGAGGCCAAGCGATGGTTCTGGGCTCTGAACAATGCGATTCAATGGACAAAGGATGAGGCCAAGGAAGAACAGAAGAAGACTAAGCTTCGAGACACTGAGGGTGCGCCCTCCATCAGGGAAAGCTTAGCTCCCGGAACTTCCGCTGCCACAGTTACTGGCACACCTCTTGCAGGGAGTACGATTGCCGAGTCTGTTGCGGCCTATGAGCCAAGTGATGCTGACGCGGGCTCCACCCATCATCCCTCGTTTGGCCGCACCACGGCCCAGATTGAAGGCGATGCCGACGACGATGAGGAATTCGGCGATGACATCAGCAGTCATGATGTCCGGCCAGCCAGCAAGGATGCATTCAGCATTACCGCGCAATCTGCGAAGCTACAACTTGACTTGTTGGAGCAAGTTTCCGCGGCTCTGCAGAGCGAGAAGGCCAAGAATCCGGAGATGCAGCTTGGTCACCCTACTGTATCGCAGGCATTGTCTTCATACGAAACTGCGGTGGGCAACCTGAAGGGCCTGCTTGTGGACCTGTTGAGAATCTCGCGCGACCACGAGGCCTACTGGAACTACCGTTTGGAACGTGAACAGAACATTCGCCGACTCTGGGAGGACAGCATGGCCAAGGTTGCTCGGGAGCAAGAGGATCTTGAAAATCGCATTGGGGAATCGGAGGACAAGCGCAAACGCACCAAGCGTGCACTTAAGGAAGCCCTGGAAGGCCAGGCTAGTACACCACAGACTGCCGCTGGTTCGGTAACTGCAAGCTCGCTACTTGCAGCCCCTGGTGATGGCGTCGTACGACGTGCCACAATTGCCGAACTTACCAACAATGAAGTGTCTGATGACGACGTCGATGATGAAGAGGAATTCTTTGATGCTGTCGACGCTGGACAAGTTGAGGTCGTTAGTGCACTTCCTCAGTACACGGCACCCGCGCAGGGCGGTGCTTCAGCGATTTCAGAAAAGACCGCCCTCGATAGCAAGACCGAAGACTCTGCCTCGAGCGCTGAAGTGAAGGGCCGAGAGATCGCAAAAAGCTACCGAGGATATGAGGACGGAGTCAGGAAGAAGTATAAGCTCGAGGCTGACAACCGACCAAAGGTCTCGCTTTGGGTAAGAACTCCACGCACATCGCATTCATTCAAAGAACGGCACCGCTGACTTAACGTGTACAGGGTATTCTCAAATCTATGATTGGCAAAGACATGACCAAGATGACTCTCCCAGTGTCTTTCAACGAGCCAACATCTCTGCTTTACCGCGTGGTCGAAGACATGGAATATACCGATCTGCTCAATGTGGCTGCCGAGCGAAGCGATTCTACCGAGCGACTCGTCTATGTCGCAGGATTCGCGGCCTCTGAATACTGCAGCACAACGGGACGCGTTGCTAAGCCATTCAATCCTCTTCTTGGAGAGACTTACGAATATGCTCGACCCGATCTGGGCTACCGATTCTTTATCGAACAAGTATCTCACCATCCTCCTGTGGGTGCTGCCTATGCTGAAAGTGCCCGATGGGACTACTACGGCGAGTCGGCCGTCAAGTCGAAGTTCTACGGTAAATCGTTCGAGTTTAATCCCCTCGGCACGTGGTTCCTGCACCTCAGACCGACCAACGGAGCTCCCGAGGAGCTATACACATGGAAGAAGGTCACCTCGTCCGTCGTTGGTATCATTACCGGCAACCCTGTTGTCGATAACTACGGTCCCATGGAAGTCAAGAACTGGACCACCGGCGAGGTTTGCTACCTCGACTTCAAGCCTCGTGGATGGAAGGTGAGCTCGGCTTTCCAGGTCTCTGGCAAAGTAGTCGACGCCCAAGGCAAGACGAGATGGTCTATCGGAGGACGATGGAACGACAAAATCTACGCTCGTCTCACTCCAGGCTACGAAGCGGCCATTGACGTGCCTTCAAGCAGTGGCTCTGCTGCGGACAAAGCCTTCCTAGTCTGGGAGGCACACTACCGACCACCGCCAGGCGAAATTCCGTTCAACGTCACACCCTTCGTGGTCACTCTTAACGATCTCCCTGACCGCCTCCGCCCGATCATCGCGCCTACCGACTCGCGTCTACGACCTGATCAGCGTGCTATGGAGGAGGGCGAGTACGACTTTGCCGCGGTTGAGAAGAATCGCGTGGAAGAGGGCCAGCGTGCGCGACGACGAGAGCGCGAGGCTAACGGCGAAGAGTTTGTGCCGCGATGGTTCTCCAAGGCCAAACACCCCATCACTGGCGAGGAATACTGGTTGTTCAACCATGAGTACTGGACGACGCGTAATGCGGTCATTGAGGGGAAGACCACATGGGCTGAGCAACGCTTGGAGGAGATCTTTTAGATGTGCGCAAAGGAATCTGATGAAGATATGAACATGGGTTGATATTATAGTGCGAAATTTATAGAGTGGACGGCACGAGCTGAAAATAAATTGTTCTCCCCCGATCTCTATCGGGACGCTGTTTTCTCCTGCCTGCGATAGTAAACTACCAACCAGCCCATGTTCATTCTGCACGGCACATCGGGAAATGTCTCATTACAATCAACGTCCAAAGCGCGTGACTATGTTCTTGCATCATGTGATTCGACGTTGCAGCTTCCGCCATCGTGCACTGCGTCCATTCAAAAACAACCCTCAAGCTCGTCGAGCGCTACCCGCCTGGGCAGATTTGTTCGACTCGACCTCAACCTTGCAAGTGGAGCTTCGAATTCGCGAAGCGTGACGACGTCATCTACACATCAGTAGTGGCAGTATGCCAGGAAACGCGTGTGGGTCCTGCAACAAATACTGTATGCTCGAAATACTTGAATGAACACCAGCGGGATCGGTGCACTACACTAGAGGAACATCACCGCCAGAGGAGATTATAATTATGCCGGGCCTGGTGAAGAAGCTCCTCATGTAAGCGATTCGTCGAAAGAGTAGCAAACACAGACGAAACTGATCACGATATCTGCAGTTGTGCCGCTGTTGATGGCTTGCTATTGCAGCCCGTGGTCTCCGACAAGAGCTTCAGCAGTGATACTCTCAAGATCGAATACGGCACCCGCAAACCACGTTCGACTAGCAAGCGAGAGGAGGTTGAAGGCCAGAGCAAGCTCGAAGCACATGGCATTATTGGTGCGTCTCAAGACGATCGCAGAACTTTGACGGGAAATTGATCACTATCGACCATAGGCGTACTCGACCTAGTGTCAAGCTCATATTTAATATCGATCACCAAGCGTGAACAAGTGGCGCAAATCCGCGGTCACCCCATTTATGCCATCCGCGATGTCGCGTTGATCCCATTGTCATCGAAATCTGCCGCGGAGCAAGCGATCGCGGCATCCCAGCGCCTCTCTGCAAGAGAGTCGGCCGATTTACTTGCCGACACCGCAGGAGAACATACTGATGAAAGTGACGTCGGTGAGGATGCAGAAACCGCAAGCCTCGGAGGCGAGGAACGAAATGTGGAACAGGGGCCAGAAAGCGAAGGATCGGCGTTGGAAGCACCGAAGACTGCACTCAAGCAAAGCGCTACTTACGTGAAAAATGTTGTCCAGGAAGGCACACGGCAGAAAAGTCTTGCTGAGCGATGGTTCAGTCGCGGTAACAAGACGGCCACTACAGGCGACCAAAGCACCGATAAAACTGTCGAAGGCAGTAAGGACGAATTGACCGTGGAGCAGCAGAAACAGGCAGCACAAGATCTTCCTACTCAGGATGCAGACGCGGCACAGCTTGAGAACAGTGGTCCGCAGGACGCTGCTCATGACAATCTCTCTCTCGGCAAGAGGAGAGCCATCGAAACGTTGAACCCGCGAATCCTCAGGAGCGCCAGGCTTTATTTCGGATCAAGCGGTTTCTACTTCTCCTATGAGCATAATCTGTCGAAATCATTGGGCCATCCCGACGAAGAGTCTTTGCAAACGGCGCTCTGGAAGCGATTCGATGATCTAGTATGCACTGGCCTGAAACGTGAGATTGAAATCCTGCTGATTGTTTCTCGATAGTTCTTCTGGAATCGAAATCTTTTGACACCATTCACTGACGAGGGTCGAGATGCCTTCGCCTTGCCTATTCTCCAAGGATTTGTCGGACAGCATGAGTTCACCATGGCTCGCACGAACCAACAAGGAAATATCCAGTCCAAGGTCGTACAAGAAGGTGAAAACGTCACAGCCGTTGAAGACAGCGAGCCACATGGAACACCCTCGGGCAGCGCGGATGCAGGAGTCTCCAATCTCCTACTCACTCTGATTAGCCGGCGGTCAATCCAACGCGCCGGTCTGAGATATTTACGGCGGGGTGTGGACAACGACGGTAATGTGGCCAATAATGTCGAAACCGAGCAGATCCTCTCCTCGCAATCCTGGAGTAAAACAGAGAAGGAATTCTCCTTGACCCAGATCCGCGGATCGATTCCACTCTTCTTCTCGCAGAGTCCGTACAGCTTCAAGCCTATTCCGACTATGCTCGGCTCGGAGGCGACCAATAAAGCTGCTTTTGTCAAGCACCTCACTTCCCTGAGTCAACGCTATGGCCGTGTACAGATGGCTTCCTTGATTGACAAGCATGGCACCGAAGTCAGTATAGGAGAAGCTTATGAAACACAAGCGAACGCACTCAATGATGAGGGAGGCATTGGTGGAAGGAAGGTGGGGTTTGAGTGGTTTGATTTCCACGGGGTCTGCAAAGGCATGAATTTCAAGAATGTCTCGATCTTATTGGACACATTGCAAGATCCACTCAACTCGATAGGCTGGCTGGTGAGACAAGGTGATGAGACTTTGTGGGAACAATCGGGCGTTTTGCGTACAAACTGCATGGACTGTCTAGATCGGACAAACGTAACTCAGTCCGCCGTCGCCGGATGGGCCTTGGAGAGACAGCTTGCCGAGCTGAACCTCAGTATCGATCTTCAGACAGACCCTGGCACACAATGGTTCAACATCCTCTGGGCAGACAACGGCGATGCCATCTCGAAACAATACGCCGGAACATCGGCCTTGAAAGGCGACTTCACCCGCACGAGGAAACGTAACTGGAAAGGTGCCCTGTCGGACTTTAGCCTGACATTGAACCGATTCTACAACAATGTTTTCGGAGACTACTTTTTGCAAACGTGCATTGACTACTATCTCGGAAATGCAGGCCCCGAAATCTTCGATGAATTCGAGACAGATATGATGGCCCAGGACTATGCGTTCGATATGAGCCACGTGCGACAGAATGCGATTGATACATGTATCAAGATGGTCGTCGAAGACCCGCAGGAGAAGTTGCTTGGCGGATGGAAACTAAGCTGTCCACGTGAAGCAAACACGTTGAGGACTTTGCCATTCGAGGAATGCGTCCTCTTGTTGACCAGTGCTGCGGTGTATTTCTGCCGGTTCGACTGGAACTCGGAAAAGGTCGGCAGCTTTGAGCGTGTCGATCTGCTGGACGTAACGCAGATCTGGTTTGGGACCTACATCACCAGCACTCTCGGGGCAGCGCACGTCGACGCTGCGAAGAATGTCGGCTTCGCTCTACGATTCAACACCGGTGGGCCGGCGGTCATCAGGACCAACACCCGCAGCCTGCAGAATGAGCAGGTTCCTACGGCAGAAGGGCACGAGGTTGAAAAATCAGCGGGCGGGGAACAAGCAAAGCAGGTCGACAAACCCACCAACCCAGAGACGAAAACAAGGCTGCTGGCGTTTAAAGTACTGCCTCCCAAAGCCATGGCAGCAAAGAATAAACGTCCGGAGAGTCAGGAACACAACGAGGTCAACACAGCTAAGATTGTGTGCTCAGATATTCTAAAGGCCGCAAATGCAGCTGCCAATCAGAACCAGAATCCGCATTCGACGCTCGCGGTTGAAGAGCGTGACGTTGTCTCGGCCGCTGATGCGAGAAAGAACACAGGCTATGTAGAGTCACTGGGCTATTCGCTCAAGAGGCTAGTGTGGTCTTGAAGGATGCTGCTTGGAAGGTCCGTTCACAAATTGCGCACTGCAGCACGAGCACGGAAGTTATGCGTATTGCCACTTATCTCTTTGATTGCGCGAGGGGATGAAATAATGAAAATACGAGCACAGTCTGAACAAATTTCCTGTGAAGGTCGAAGGGCGTGATATTTGCAGTTGACAGCCCGTGAATTCCGCCCAATTGGCAGGCAAGCATTGATGTGGCGGGCACGTGGCGGGGAATTCCAGGGCTCGCATTGGGAAATCCTGGAAAAAGTGCTGTGAATTGCTTGACTCCGCCTGAGGCAACACCAATTTTTACTGTTCTGTCATCGATACATTGGCAAAGTGAAGAAACAATCACGCACGACTAAAAAATAAAGAACAAGGAACATAACACTATCAGTATCATCTGGTTCCTCAATCAAGATGGCAACACAAGCTACCGGCGCCCGCAGCGCCACTCTCGTCCGTGATACCAACGAAACCAAAATCCAACTCTCCATCAACCTCGACGGCGGCGCCCTGGCACCGCTACCTAATGCCGCCGCTGCGGCCTCCGACTCCAGCGAGCACGCCGCACAGAACTCAGCATCCCAACAGATCTCAATCAACACCGGCATCGGCTTCCTCGACCACATGCTTCACGCGCTGGCCAAACACGCAGGCTGGAGTCTCGCGATCCACGCCACCGGCGACCTCCACATCGACGACCACCACACAGCGGAAGACACCTGCATCGCTCTGGGTACCGCCTTCAAGCAAGCCCTCCGGACGACCACGGGGCTCGCACGATGGGGTTACGCCTACTGCCCGCTGGACGAAGCGCTTTCGCGGGCGGTCGTGGACCTCTCGAATCGGCCTTACTGCGTGGCCGAGCTGGGCCTCAAGCGGGAGAAGATTGGAGATTTATCCTGCGAGATGATCCCACATTGCTTCGAGAGTTTCGCGCAACATGCGGGGGTTACGCTGCACGTGGACTGTATCCGGGGCTTCAACGACCATCACCGCGCGGAGAGCGCGTTTAAGGCGACGGCGGTTGCGTTGAGGATGGCGTGCGCGACGGTGAAGGGTAGGGAGGGAGAGGTGCCTAGTACGAAGGGGGTGCTTTTTTGAATGACGGGTTTTACGAGGACTACTGATCATGTAGACATGAGTAGATGTTGGTTTCCCAGGGCTGTTTTTAAAAGCATCTTCTCGCCGCGATGTCTCATCGCATCCACACAGTGTAAGCTCTCGTCGTCGTCACTTGGTCCCGAGTGGTATTCATTCGAGGAATATGCTGGTGTCACTTGTACGTCGTGCATAAGAAGCCACACGTCAGCATATGCCAGATGCTGGAACCCCTGGCACGTGCCAAATGAGAACGAATTACGAGTGTATGCCTTCAGCAACGACACGACACGTCAACGTGCATTTAAGAGGGACTTGTGGCGGAGCAAATGGTGATCAGCAACAGCTTATCAGCGCCTGACACTGAAAGAACATACCAGGGAGGACTTTCATCATGCAGGTTTGCTGGCAGAAACGCCTCAATTACGTATGTAGAGGGGGCATCGCTATCTCGCCGATATGCAACACAGTATGTCTCCGATCGGCAATTCGGGACGACGTGATGTCGGACAGAGTGTTTCGTGGGCCAGTGTAGGGAAGGCGGCACGACCCTTGATCAAATCCTGACTCGGGTGCTGTATGCACACTGCTGTACGTTGACGCCGTCATCATGGGAAGGATTGTACAGTGCTGATCGCGGAAGCAAGGTGGACGTAGCATGTCATGGTCCACTGCCGTGTCATGCAGTGATCCAAGAGGTGGACGCGTACACCCATCAATCGATATGCAACTGCCGCAATTGCCGCCTGGCGCACCGAGTAATAATCAGGTTTGGAGGTGCAGGAGACGTTTGAAAGGCAACCTACCGCTTCCTCCGGAAGAGCGTCAGGACGTATGCCAAGGTGTGGCACCCTATCAAGCCTTTGACTTTGAGCTTATTCGATCAATGATCTGCGGGTACCTCTGAAGGTACCGCCTTCCGTGAACAGGTGAGTGTTGCGCAAAAAGACATTTCTAGGGTATGTCCATCGTGTCATTTGGTCGCCATCGGAGATAACAACCAAGGAAATTGATGAGTTGAGTTGTCCTGATTTCGTCATCACAGCCGTCATCTCTTTTCGAGGGCAACCTTTTGTTGCCACGAACATAGTCAGACCAGCGTTTGCCGTTTTTAGAAACCAGGCATTTGAGTTCAGGGTATTGGCAATGTGCATGCATTGTGCAGCAACAACAGCATCACAGCAGTCGAAGGATCGTTAGACTCGATCCCAGCGTGCCACAACACGTCTGCGAGGAGTTCTGAACTGTTTGATCCGCATTGCGTGATCTTTGCCGCAATAGAGATATTGATCTGCTGCTGTGGAGGCTGATGATCTTCCACGCCACACCGGATAGAATTCTCTGCTGGAAATCGGCCTTAGAGGGATCGGACAGCCGCTGTGGCCGCTTCACAGGGACTGTGCCTACGGCCTCTTTTCTCGATAGATCAGTTCAGCAATAATGGCCACGCGTTATCAGGCCTGATCATCATTGCGATCCAATGTGATGTCCCTGTAGAGACGAGGCGATAATCCGGTACGATGTGAGATCGTGCCCCGACTGATCGTTGCGGATCCCGCCCGGCCCGTCACTCCGCAGCGAAGTTAGTGCAGCCTACCGTACAAGGGTCCACGTTTGGCGCGCACTACGGAGGAGTAAACAGTTGCTCTTTGCCTTCACCGTCAACCGATGACAGCACACGAGCAAAACAATTCATGCCGGACATTGTCGACATTGATGAGCGGACATCCCTTGTACCAAACAGTCGCATCTTGGCCTTTGGTCTCCCTTTCGATGTTTCGATGAAGCGTGTCCGACCTGATGCTTGCATGTCCAAATTTGTCCCCTCAGGAGAACGAGTCATACCGACGGAATTTCCCATGAACCTTGGAGGTGTAAGGGTCATCCCCGCGTGGTGCACAGCCGCACGTGATGCACAGTCCGCTTTGAATGGACTCCAAATGAAGCATCAGCTTTGAACGCGTATAACT